CCCCCAGTATTCGTGTTCTCGGAACGTAAAATATACCACTGCAAAACAGGTGTGGCAAATGTCAAGTCGAAACTCCCAAGGGACATGAAATACAACTGTCACCGGAACGATTCGTCAGAATGGCCTCTATTATCTCTGTCCATTACATCGACATTACTTTTCATCATTTATAGAACTTACATTGACGTATCGCCGATACAAATTGTAGACATGCCAGCACAACGAGCACTCGCAGAAAGGGAGCCATCTTCATTTCTTATGTCAGAATGAGAATCAACTTCCGGTCAAAATTGATGACGTCACTCGGCACGTGAAAATGAAAGTAGATAAGTCTTGCGGAAGACCCTATAACATTTTTTATCCATTCCAAATCAAGAGGTTGTAAGGAGAATGTTTTACGAGCTTAGTATCACCACGGACTTAGATAATCTAATTCCGAGGTATCACTAAAAACGTCTAATAATACACCAGATACATTAACTAATTATCTAGTCCCCATGGTTATTTTTAAAGGCACAATTTACTGTGTGTGTTACGTTCATCTTTCAAGATATAATATTCAGGTGGTAAACTCTACTGTAAACCGAATTCTTCTGACTGTTTATCGACCTTTTTAATCGACGACAGACCGATATAAAAAAAATCGATGAAACGTCAGAATAATTCGGATTAACTCTACTGGTGTAAACTGTATGGCCATAGTTATATTTTTTTTAATTAGTGGCACTGTTCATGACACACACACTGTACTTATCCGGGCTTTTCACTTACGTTGAAAAGTACGGACCAAATGGGTTTTTTTTTATTATGTTTCTTCTGATTATTATACTTCTACTTGTTTTACACTATACAAAAAAAAACCCACATAAACAAGCTATTTCCCCTCTAACTGCATGTCAGGGAAATAGTTCGTTTGGAGGGGTGCGATAGTTTTGAAACTATTTCCCTCGGAAAATGCAGGAAATTGAGTAACGTAGTGGGCGGGGCCCGACCGAATATTGATCAATCAGCGCAATACGAATTACGTCGGCAATTTCCGGCCAGCGGAGCCGGTACTTTCTGGACCGACCTTCACCTCGCATTGTTGTTGACAGACGACAACAGAAAATGGCGACCCCAAGGTTTTCTGTGGGGTGTTTTCTGATGTTGATTCTCAAGAAAAAAATAGTTTTGTTAATAAAGTGTCCCAACTGTTGATAAGAGGTATGGCGGAAAACTGCCCGTATTTCCCTAAGTCGGCATTTTTGAAAACGGAAAAAAATATTGATGAGTAAATAATCTTTAGTAGCAAAAATGCATGGAATAGATATAAAACCAATTGAATATGAATTTTTGAACTGTTGAGATATTCGGTATTGTTAATATAACACTGCAAATATAGCCATATTCACTATATCTTTGAAAGTGAAGGGGTTTCCCAGAATTAAAAAAAATACTTTCAATACTTTCCCATCCGACTTTGAATAAACATTTTGATTCCGTGATGTAATATGCAAATACAAATCGTATGACGGAAAGGTGGTCCTCCTTTTGGGAAAGTGCTCAAAATAATGAAAAACTGTGTTGATCAAGTTTTTAAAACAGTTTGTATTTCCCTTTTTGTCTATGTCCGATGTAGCCTAATGTGTATCGCAGTTAGCTTGTGACCAGAAAATGTGAACAGTGTAGGTTCGAATCCACATTCAAATTCACTTTAATGACATACCTATTGATTTATCTTCTATGGAATCATGTCAACAAATCCCTGTATGCGTGTACAGTACAGCTACGCTTTGTAGTTGAGACATCATTTAAAATGATATTTATGAATTGTTTTACCGTCCAATCNCTTCTTTTACTCACATTTCAAATATCCCTTGAACTACGTTTAAATGTAAGCTACTGTTTTAAGTATTTATATTTCTTTCCATAGAATTCAGTAACTATGCCATCATGCCTTAAATTAATGAGATAAATTCTCGGAAACGGATTTATATAAGTTATTTCAACTTGTTTCCGGATCCCATTCCTCTGTACTTTGTATGTTATGTGATGTAATGCAACCTAATTTGGAATGAAATAAAGTTTATATTAAAAGATATTACCGAACATGCGGGAAATTCATCGTCGAGGACAGTCTCATTTGTTATAAATGCAGGAAGACTGCAGCACAACGTTAGGAGCGCAATACACGTGTAAGACATGCTATTCGAAAACAATATGTCATTTTATCATTCCTAGTTAAAGAAAGAACAAAATCATTTTTGTGTCAAGGGTCAACGTTCGGTTTCCGGTAGGGGTCAAAGTTCAAATAAACTTTAAAAATCTTCTTCTTAAGCTCCACAAGGTCTAGAGTCTTGATATTTAAAATGCTGAGATGTTTGGGTATCAGGTTTGAAAAAATGGTTTACCTTGATTAACTATTAAGGTCACAATGGTAAAATGTTTTTAAAAAAAATCTTTAATCAAGAATATTTCGAAAAATTTCCGATATATTCACTCGATATTCAGGTGTGATGTGGACAACACAAATGCGCATACATTTCGCAGGAAACATTTTTAGTTGACCTGGTCAAGTTTTGAGTTATTTAGGGGTCAAATCATATGTGCTTTTTCAGGGTAACAACTTCAAAAAACTTCTCCTAAAGTTCTACAAAATCCAGAGTCTTGATATTTAATACATAACATGGTCAGGTAATTGGCTATCAAGTTTGCCAAAATTAATGACCTTGATTGACTTTCAAGGTCATAGAGGTCATATATGTAAAAATATTCAAACTACTTTTTCTGAATAACCAATAGTCTCAATGTAACAATGTTTGGCAAGAAGCATGCTTGAATGAAGGGCTTTAAAGTTGTGCAAATGAACGAGCTTGACCTACTGTAAATAAAATTTCAAAAGTGAAAGTCAAAAACTTTTTCATTTTTGTGCGATTTTGCCGTTTTCTCAGCACTCTCAGAACTTCTCAGAACTTTGATTTATATTTAAATCCACAAAAAAAATCAGATAATATTGAACAATCTTTTTCTATGTTTCCAATAAGGAACGAGAAATATTTGTAAGGCCCGTCAAATTGTTAGCAAACAATTTCTAGTTATTTGATTTGAAACTAACCAGTACTCCTCTAAATTTTCAAAATTCAGAAATGAAATAGTTAAAAATTACGTACCTCTCTTTTTTCAACAGTAATTTAGACCAATTTAGTATCCACCTTTTTGATCCCTAGAATCACCGATGAGTCCTTAAAGGACAAAACAGCGTTATGATGCAGTGTAATTTCATTTTCGGCATACCGTCTCTATCATCAATTTTTTACAGTACAGTCAACTGTGTGTGTTACATTCATCCCCCTGAGTTGTGGGCATATGTTAGTCGATGAAGATAAAAATATGTAGGACCAAAACAATACTAAAGTTGGGGAAAATAATTCTACCTAAATTACAACATTTATTTTTCTTTCTAAGATATGCCAAAGCCGTAGTATCAAGTAATTAGATTAGATAGCTATGTAAGCCCGTGGTAGTATGTATACGTCTCTCCTATTACTACACAGAGATGGCGTAGTGGAAGGAGCGACGGATATTTCTAGGCTAGGCAATATGGTGCCGTAGGTCGTGAGTTCGAGGCCCGGGCGGGACACGAGTAAAAAATGTCTTACTTCGTCATTTGTGTTTCTAAAGATGAAGAAATACAGCTATAGTATGGTGATTTTTGCTTAGGTATTTTAATTTCTGAGTCTAAGACGACGTATGATTCCTAAAACCGCTTTGATTTTCACTTTTCACAATTATTATGTTGTTTATATAAATGTTATAATACTTCAATCTGTTATTAAAATGTGATGTTAGTGAGATAGGTCTATACGATGCCGGATTTTCATTATCTTTCCTTGTTTAAGAATGGTAATGACTACAGCTTTATTCCATGATTTGGGGTATGTACGTGAGTTCCAGTTGGTGTTTATTAAGTCTAGTATTGTCGCGTTTACGTTGGATGGGCAGTTTTTGAGTATTGTATGGGACAGATTATCTGTACTGTTGGAGGTGCTAGACTGTATTCGTTTAGCGTAAATGGTTCATTTAAAATCCTCTCTCGTGTCTTTAAGATTTCTTCTATTTCATATTGAACTTCCTGTGAACAATTTTGATTGCTACTAGCTGGACGGATTTGTTTGGCCAGTATATTTGTTTTTCTAGATTAGTAGGCATTAGCCTTAATTGCATTGTGTTGGTTTTGTTATTTAAATAATTACAGAACTCTATCCAATGTTTTTCTTTATAGTTTTGCAAGTTTTTAGCTATTTGATAATAATATGCAAATGTTACTAAAAAAAAAGTTGAAGGACTTTGGGATAGGACGGGATTTTTTCCCCGTCAACGTATCTGTTGATTAGTGTTTTATGTAAATTAACCTAACATACACAGATACACAGAATTTATTCTGACTATAGGAATGTTTACAGTACCTCTGCTGTCAGCTCTGTTATATAAATAAAGGTTGGTTGATATGATTGGTTATAACGTGATCTATGATTATTTTGCGAGTCCATTGCTGATAATGTCATAGCTCTGTAATTATAAGTTCACTAATTAACAACTATCTGTATTATGTTTCAGGTACATACAAGTTAGTAGTTCAAATTTAATGTTGGTATTCTATGTTCTTATATATGTTATATGAGTGTTATTTTATTTTTAATTTTTTTCATTTTTTTTTTACATGACATGATCCAACACACATGATACATGGTTGTTGTTAAGGCTCCTAAAGCTTAAGAGTTGTTACTTATAGTTTTTCTTTTAATTCACTTTGAATAAATACTTATCAAGTATGTACCTATATACAGAGACAAACAAGAATACAGACACACTCAGACACACACACACACACACACACACTTATAGTTACATATCCACACAAATTAGTATATAAATAAAAGATTAATACATAAAGGGTATTCTTGACATTAGGTATGCAGACAAAAATCAAATGCACACAAAAGACAAAGGATAAGATATATGGGACAAAGCAAGGACAAGTGAAACCTAGGTTAGAAATATGTTAAATTTAGTATCTTTTAATTTTTAAATTTGCAAACAGTGATGTATTTGTGTGTTAATTTGTGTTTTGTTTTTAATGTTACTTTTAGATATTAGAATTTTGTGAGCTTTTAATTCGAATTTGATATGACTTTTTAGACCATTCAGATCGAGTTCTATTTCTAGGCATTTTGATTCATTTATGTATTGTTTTGTCGTGAGTAATATCAAGTTATCCAAGTTGAACTTTGCATATCTATTAATTTCCTTGACAAAGATAAATGATTGTTTATTAAATCGAAGACCAAGATTTTTAGCAATAATTGTAATTCTTATATTTTCGATCAAATTATAAACTTTTTCACAATCCCATAATATATGTGTTATTGTTTCCGTTTCACAAAATTCTTCAAAGCTGTATAAAAATCTAACTTTTTTAATAATGTTGTGAATAAAATGTACGCCATATATTGCTTGCATTGATAGTGTTATACCAGGCATCCAAAACATCTTTCCAAAATACATTTTTACATATTTTTTTTTATATTTCTTTCAATTTCTCAATTCCAATATTTGCTTATTTCTGTTTATCAAATAAAGATTCTACAACAAGACATCAGGATTGGGAAGCGATACAAACAAATGATTAAACTGAGATATTAGTAGAGTTTTGATATCAACTATTTTACCTATTGGTGTAAGTATTCTTTTGTTCCAGACCGATATTAAAGACTTCAGTTTTGCAAGCTTTTTGTCAAAATTCAGTTTGATAATTCTGTGTAGGCCTACATCATATTCTATGCCTAATTCCGTTTTTCGTATTGCAGATTTATCTGCTCTTGTGGAGCAGGTATTGATTGTTACGTCATTAGTTTGTGTGAGATAATTACGTCGTTTTCTCAAAAAATGATGACGTTAGTCCCACAAACAAATGACGTAACAATCAATACCAGCTCACAAGAGCAGATAACTCTGCAATACGAAAAGGCGGAATAGGGTGAAGCGTGTACTTCCCCATTTTAAGTCAAAATTTGTAGTAAAAGTGTTTTCATTGTATTTTTTGCTGCCAATCCATACTACCTAGCTGGGTCTTGGAGAAGTTAATTTTTAGTCCAGAAATACTAGCAAAGTAGTTAAGAGCTTTTAATGTTTCATCTAAAGATTTGTTTGAACCATCTAGAGTAACTTACAGACGTGTCATCAGCAAATAGTGTGATAAGAGAATTTCCTATTCCCTGATAAGTATTCCTTTGATTATTTTATTTAATTAATGGTAGAATTTCAGCACATAATATGAAAATATATGAAGATACCGGATCCCCCTGACGAAAATTAAAACACTTCAAAGTTTTACTGATAAAGTGTTAGTTTCTTGTTAAGTAAGTTGTCGTGGCCTCAATAGGTTCCCTGTGGTTATAGAAAAGATAACATATCAGTAACGGATCCTGGATTTCAGAAAGGTTAGGAGCAAAAAAACATTTTGTCTTCATTTTTGCCTTCACCCGTTACCGTGAAATATGAAAAACTGAAGTGTGACGACAACGTTAATCACCCTCAGTATATAGAAATTCCCCAACATGAGATAAATATGAGCGATTACGGTTAATCATAAGTTTGGGGGACTTCCACTCATATCGCCCTAGTCTGTTGTGCATATAAGTTAGTGCTCCAATCAGAAACGGAAATCATCGTGAAACATGACGTCGCAATTCAATTAGATGAATATTTTTAAAATGAATAAGTTTTTTTTTTATTCAAATCCTCCATAAAATAATAACTAAACATATCTATAATATAGGTCTAGACTACTCTAGGTATTACTGATTCGCCACAATAGAATAACAATCATTTGCCTCTTTGCTTATTTAAACATTTATTTGTTAAAAAGCAACATATGAATAAATGATATAATCTCATTTATATCAAGCAATTCATTTCATCGCAGTTTCAGTTTCGTCAGGGAGCGGAGCACGTGATCTCAAAAACTTCAGTTCCGGTTAACATCGGGGTTCTCCGGTGTCAGAAAGAACATGGCCGCTGTGACGCCATGTCGAAAGTTATGAGCGCAATGTGAAGAAAGGAAAATATCCTGATGCAAGGCCGGTTTGGGCCGCAAATGACTTTTGTACATATCATCTGTTTAGTAAGCGAGACTATTGGAAAGAGAAAGCTTCAAAGGGATTTGGGGCTTTCGCAAGCTGATTAATGGAATAATATGAATCTTGACTCGTTATCATTTGCCTTGGCAGAAATAAGCTATTCTGTGTCCAATTTAACAAAGAAGAATTTCAAATCGAGCGTTGGAGAAATAAGTCATGTACGTATGTCTTAATTATTATGTACACAGTAGATTTAAATACTACACAAAATTTGCATATCAACTTTCGTTGTTCTCCTTTGTTGACGAGTTTGCATGGAAAAAAGGGGGGGGGGGTTGTAGGAAAATGCTTCCATATTCTTCTTGACATTATCTGCACAGTATTGCTATGTGAATTGTCTTTAAACATGGAAAACTGTCTGTCTTAACTATAGTTAAAATAGTGAAAATTAAAAATGACTCTGTGGCTTATAGCTAAAATGCTCCAGCGTATAGATGTATTGGTATGACTGGTCAATTCGTCCACAGTTGGAGGTCGGTTTGTCTTGATCATAGAAACATCATTGCTTTAACGATTATTTTACTGTGTAACGGTTTATTTATCCTGTCATCATTATATAAATGTCACAACACAACATATTTACCAAACAGATAAATGCAAGATGACAATGGGTGACTACCGTGACTAATAATTGGCACCTACAATGTCACATTGGCAAAAAGGGTAAAAAATTACACCTACTAAGTACAGCTATTTAAAGATCATAAAAAGAAAGTGGATGATAATGACAACTCACTCACACATTACCAATTAAGTGGGGGTATAAGATTATTTGCCTGACTAGTTTCACATCTAAATGTGAATCTTCAAGTGCTGACAAAGCCTCACCTGTAGAGGTTAAACTAGAAGGCCAAATAATCTTAAAACCCCACATTATTGGTGGTGCTTGAGTATTGTTTTGATTATAATCCCCTTTTTTATAATATCTAATTGCCCTGCATACCTTTTGGCATCCATACTCAAAGCAAAGTGCCCCACTGATCATTCCACAATATTGCAACTGATGTTGGCTCCATCACCTTAAAATGTATTTGAAGATCATGTTACAGAAGTGATGCAACATTGAGAAGAATGTGAGAGTATCAAAAACATTAAATTAAAGGATAAGCAAGAACAAGCAGTATTTCAATTATATACAATTGCATGTCACATATTCTTATGTACCTACTATATCTATCAAATTGGAACTGATGTTGGCTCCATCACCTTAAAATGTATTTGAAGATCATTTTACAGAAGTGATGCAACATTGAGAAGAATGTAAGAGTATCAAAAACATTGAATTAAAGGATAAGCAAGAACAAGCAGTATTTCAATTATATACAATTGCATGTCACATATTCTTATGTACCTACTATATTTATCAAATTGGAACTGACATTTTTTTCAGCTTATGTATATGTAGATTAAATTGTTAGGGCTGCAACGATATATCATATCAATTTTTTTGTTAGCATGTATCGTGTCGTGATACACCTTACAGTGCTTAAATTATCAATCATTTTTTTTATCAAACTCTAAAAAAAGTGTACTCATATTTTTTTAATCCTTCAGTTAAGAAGTGGTCCGCTGTGCAGTCATACCCAAAAGTACTAGAAATTATACAAAACTATATTTCGATAGTATTTACTTTTGAAGACTATGACAAACCTTGATAAAATCCTGCACTCAATCATTATTAAGTTGACCTTTTAAGCAGATATTTGTATCGTGATCATACAAATCGTAAACATCGTACCGTGATACATATCGTATCGTTAGGTATGCATATCATTGGAGCCCTAAAAGTTATAAACTTAATGAGAACACTGATGATTTGAGTAACTGTAATTATACATCATTACATGTTATATTAAACCATACAGCACATATTTACAGCATTCTCAATTACAATTGTTCATCTTTTTTTCGGTGCAGTTGAGATGTAGTTGCGCTGAGTTGTTTCCTGTAAAAAGTTAAGAAATTATTGTCTTCTATTCATTTACAGCTTGTTCTGCAACACGGAGCTGAAGCAGATAGGCACTTATTCCGGTGCCTTTTCTCACATGTAGACTTCAGCGGTGATGGTAGAAGTAGCGGAAAAGACTTTCACCAGGTATGATTTCGATGCTTTCTATTGGGGAAAACTTCAGTTGAGATGTTTCCTCAAATTCAGAAATATTAATGAAACTCAAGCTTGATACAGTATTAGACACGCACACCGCACAGAGAGAATAGTATAATAAAATATTTTTGCTGAATCATCACCATCCAATAAAACAGTCAAACTATAAATATTTTATCTGTTTTATCATAAATCGAAAACGTTTATCATAGCCTGAAATGCAAATGCCCTTAGTATATAGACACAATTCTTTTAAACTTTCCTCCAATTTTAACATTTCACTCGACAGTTTGAAGATAAGTAATTTCCTTATAATTAACAGTTTACATATATAATGTAAATTCAGTTTATTCACAACAAGGCCTGATTTCAATATTTACATCAAGATAGTTAAGAAATAACAGAAACATGTACAAATATAATGTTTATTAAGCAGATGCAGTATAAAGACTGAGTTTTTTGGCCAAGGTTGTTGATGTATTCTTTTTTCTTCATTTTGCTTCACAGACACAGTTTCTGATACAGGAGTTTGGGACTCTGCTGAGCAAACCAAATTTTGTGTCAACTTTGTGTTACGCCATCGACAATCCATTACATCATCAGAAGGTAAGCAGTATGAGAGTTGATAAAAAATCAAGAGAACTCAGTGGTCACCAAAGACTTAGCACTCAAGTCTTGTAGATTCACCTCTTCACCAGAATCAATTGATAACAACTTTTGTTACATTAAAGCGATACCTATTATTGTTTATCCTTATTTCCACGAAGGCAGAATTATACTGTTTCAAGTCTTTGGACATTAAATAGCTCATTGAAAATGTTCAGATTGAAAGTTTTCTTTTGGCAAGACCCCTTGGACTTATGTAAAGAGGTATTATGTGGTAATGTCTTACCCATACCTAGTCATTTTAATACTCAATTTCCTCCACATCTGGATAAATTTAAAATCAAAAGAATAGGAAGTTTTATAAACAAGAACAGACTTTTTACAAAGAGAATGTTACTTATGATATTATATATTTCAATACATATGAGAATTAATAATAATATCATGATATTGTTTCAGTGTTTACGTCCATCACCACACCTCTTCCCACAAATTAGTCGGGTCCTGAAGCTGACCCGCGTACAGGAAGTTGTGTTTGGATTAGCATTACTAAACTCTTCAAGCTCCGAGACTCGACCCCTTGCCGTACAGTTCGTCAAACAGAAACTACCAGATCTTGTCAGATCTTATGTTGATACAGGTGAGCACTCGTCAGATTTTCAGTATTATTTAGCATTTCATTTGTATTGACATGCAGTTCTTTTTGTTATGCAATAAAATTATTTAACCCTTAGGCTGCTACGCGCCACAATAGTGGTTTCGAAAAGTCGGGCCGTCAGTGCTGCTCACGACAATAGTGGCGCTCGGTCTGTAGGTTTTTGATCAGTAAACAGGAAGTGTGAAAGCGGACTGTTGCTATACCAAACCCGAAAGCGTATAGTAGAAGGCTTCTGATTGGTTGTTTTGTCATTACTTTCGATATTCCTGGCAATGTACCCTAGTAATAACCAAAGTATGCGAGAGAATTTCAAATCGGATAAAACGTCATAAAAATGGCGGACGTGTAGATTGAAGTGATGAATATGATGGTAAACATTTATTCTCCAGCGTCACCTACGATGATAATAAAGGTTTTAAAGGGTTTGACATGGTTGATGTGGAAATACTTCGGTGTAACATAATATGTAACTTTCCAATGAACGGCTTTGTGCCCTACGCAAACATGAAAATATTGGCGGACCGAGGCGCACATGTCGTCTGCAGGTGAGGCCGAATTGAACATTGACATTGATACGTTTTGAGCTGATTGATTTCTTCAAACTATTTATCGATGATTTAATCATAAACTAGACCGTAGCTAAGACATATCTATATGCCGACTGTGACAGTAAATATATTGAATGACGACCGGAAACCTGTAGCAAATTGCATGCAATTCTTGATGAAATACCTGACCTTTTTACCTGAAAATCTCAGTGTAAATGTACAGTGTCTTTAAATGAAGTTTATAATCTCATATGCCAATCACATTTGCTGACAAAAATAATTTTAAAATGATCTTTCTGGTGCTTAAATCCGATTACTTAAAAGTTTCACCTTTTCTTACCTTTATTACTACCTTTACAGGTAAATACTGAAGCATCTTTAGAATCGAAAATGTAATATAAACTAGAGACAATAACGAACAATTTCAATAATTAATTCAGCAGTGGCGTCCCTTTACATAGAAATCAATGTAGCAGCCTAAGGGTTAATATACATTGTGGTGTTATGAAACAATTTTATTTCAATTTTCATATACTTCAAATCTCATTCTGATCTGCTGTAATCTATAACCAGCAACACACATGGTTTCATTGTGCAGTATAGAACAGGTCTTTTTTCAAACTATGGTTTCCCAGGGTTTATCTTGCCTAAATGTGCATGGCCAATATATCCTAACCACACCTTGTGGTTCATTGAATGTGTCATATAATAGAAAGCTGATAGATAATTGGCTAAATGCAGCTACATCTACACATTGACACTTATTATTAAAGTCTGAAAATTTATTGGTCTATCTAGCATTTAGCTTTATTTGAATTTGCTTTTGCTGATGGTATTTTTGGAAAGTCGAAAACATCTTTGATGCTGGAAAAATAGCCATTATTTATTTTATAAATAGTGACAATGCTGAATATCTGCAAGAATCTAGCTCTAAAATTTGATAAAGTTGTAAATTTTGACTGCTGAGAAGTTTTCCTCCATTAAAACAACAAACAATATAATATGTTCTGATGATTTCTCTGCCTCTAGTAGACACAGGATTGCGTCAGGAAGGCGGTCTGCAGGACGTGGACGTTGAGATACTCCACCTTCTGCTCAACCAGATCCAGAGTAACAAGGACAACTTTGGACTTGGTGCAGAACAAAGGGAAGCTTTCTACAGAACACTCAGGAAAGGTCAGTCATCTGAGTTCCTAATAAACTTTGATAAAGGCAAAAATTGTTCAAATTGCCATGTAACAAATGTGACTTTTTCAGAAGCAGGAAATAAAAGTGTTAATGATAAAAGGGTTAACTGTACAACTATTTCTGATATTTACAGACTTGTTCTGTTGCAACAGAAAATGATTTACATCCTTTGTATTCACCTTCCGTGATGGGGTTCTGTTGAATACTGTTGGATGTCCATTTTTGATTCCTACAACAACCAATCTACAACCAAAGACAACCAGGACGTTGGTTCTCTCCCACTCTGTTAGGAGTCCCATTTTTAGAAAATAGTTTTGTTACAAAATCCTCATTTTCAATATGCCTTCAAGTTTTTTTTTTATGTAATTGGTTTGTTTTCTGTTCACCTTCCATTGTAGACTTTCCTCACAACCGTGTCCCTGTCATATTAGGACCGTTGCTTTACCCTGAGGCAGAGGATCTAGCTATTTCAAAGCTCTCGGACACTACAAACATGCCGAAATCTGTGGTAAATAGATTATCAAACAATTTTAAATGGTACTTAATGTTTCTTTAGGTAAACTTACTTAATGATCCCTAAGGTAAACTTTCCCAGTGCCTTGAGTCATATTTTCAACAAAGAAGAGTTCCAAATTGTTGGGCATCTATCTGATATGGAGTTGCTTGCCCATTTACTAAGTAAACCATCATAATATTTTCATGAGTTATAGGGTACTAAGCTGTCTTTTTGTGGAAGTAGCAATGGTGTAGTCAGTAAGATTGCTGGTATTCGTTGACTAGGTGTTTTGGTGCTGTAGATTATGAGCTATGGGTCTGGGTAGGGCATGAATATAAAAAAAATGTCTCTTTTCATTATGTGTGTTTCTGGGTAATGTATAAATTAAACATTAAGTTTATATGTTGATCCAAGACTTCATACAAGAACTCAACTGTTGTGATTGTAATATGCTGCATATATACAAAAATTGTACACTGGTATTTTGTTGTGTACAGCTGGATGCGTCGCTGGCGGACATGGTTCTGGAGGCTGGATACAGCTGCACCATTAGGTACACTACTGTTTGTTTGCTTACAGTTTTTGTCTATATTACCTGTTGATATTTTGTCTTTGGCAGTGTGAAGTTAAAGGGGGAAATCTGAGGCAACTTCTATGTATCTAGAATCACAATGAAAGTATATGGAGAATAGAACTTGGAATGTATAGATGGTATTAAAATAGTGTATTGTTCATTTGAATATTATTTTTTTATTTATGTTGGCATATATATTTAATAAAACATGGGGCAAAAAAGTAATTCCAACAGTGTGGACAAGTTTAGGTTGTCAAATTTTCGGAGCGATCCGCTCCTTTACCAAGACACAGTGAAACAGAACAGTTACATGTACATGTACAGTACATCATATTACAAGAAGATAGAACTGATATACTATAATTGAAAATATAGCTATTATATAAAACCAATAGTCCCCTCGGCTAAAGACAGCCGAAGGCAGCAATTAGGCAGAGAGCATCGCGGCAAAGGAACGCTGATGTAGAGGACCCATTTAATAAAACAAATATATTTTAGTGTGGAAGAATGTCGTGGGAAGCTCCTCCAGTTTGGCATAAGGGAGATAACTCCAGCATCTGTGGCCAAAGTGTTGGGGATGATGGCAAGAACACCATCAGGGCTGTCAGAATCGGGGCACAACCAGGCCCAGGTAAATAGATTGGTGACAATGCTTAATCATTGTTCTTTATGATCTGATGTTTATCATCCATCTTGTTTATATTACAATAAAAATAAATCCTGATTTTTTTCCCACAATAAAAACAATTTTATAATCTGTTCATCAATGAATTCTCAAGGTTGAAATGAATGAGTTCGAAAACAAACAACAAAAGTACTCTTATTTTTTTTTAATTTTCAAGCATACTAGGTGTTGATTAACTTAAATACAGTATGTCCCTCTTTTTGAGTAAATACATGGGAAATTTAAACAGGATGAAATAGAAAAAAAATGAAAACATTCCATATAACTGGGCCAGATGAATAAAGAGAGAACAAGTGAGAGGGCTTCATTTTGAAATGCAAGTTGCCTTTGTGTTACAGATGAATGCTGCACCAGGCAGTGGCTGGCCTGACATGGGGGAGAAGGTAGACAAGCTTGGTGTGAACACTTGGAATGTTGAGGTGTTCGTCAGCGTCGTTCAGGATCTGGTAAGGCAGATTAATCTGTCTGCTGTAAAATATGACAAGGTTGGGCCTAAATATTTGTACACAGAAAAATGTGTCTAATTCGACTCTCATTATTTCTGTCATCTTCTGTTTTATTTATTAAAAATTAGCATAATCAGTTTTGTTTAAAATCAGAGGTGGATGAAGAAACTAGTGGTTGTCGCATTAGACAAGTTTTACTGTTTTCTAAGAACTTAAGGAATAGTAAGCCTGTTTTGCATTTATGAATATGATACAGAAAAAGTCACGATGGTGTCGGTGAATATTTTAGAGTAAATCTTTCGTATGTAGCAGTTTTTTGTCCATACCTAAAAATGTAAGAAAAAAATCCTTTGCTATATTTTTGTTTCCTTACCTACCATTTATTAAAAAAAAATTGTACATTTAATTTATTACTTGATGCAGGCGCCCCACTTCAACTGGAGAGATGTAGTGCTACAGCTTGATCACTCAGGGTTCATGGTTGTCAACAAGAAAGGACTGCGGCTGCTGGTGCAGGGACTGATCCGAGGACTACAGGAAGTGTTTCCTGTCGAGTTTGTATATCGACCATGGAAAAACACAGAGGGACAGGTCAGTTGTATTAAACAGATGTTAACTTGAGTAACCCTTTTTAAGGATATATCTTGCATTATACATGGTGTTTGTATGTTCTAAAATATTGATTTTGAAATATGAATGCATTCTTGTATATAATGTATCTCTTAACTTGTCATCAATTTATCAAACATTCAAAATACTGAAAAGATATTTGATAGGTTTCTTAAGCGTGATACTCTTTTGAAGCTTTCCTGTTTGAGATAGTTGCTCCTAGGAATAAGTGTTTATTAAGCCAAAGCTGCAATGACTAGATGTGTTATATGTTAAACTGTTTCCTAGCTTATGGTTAACATGTGATCCTTTTCTCCTTTTAGCTATTTGTTCTTTGCATTTAAGCTAGAATACCCAGATGTGTTCAGTTTTGATCTGTATCATTACATGGTGATTATAGATAGGATACTATTACCAAATATATAAACAACCTGGAATGCTCTCCTTTGTAGTTGTCGTTCATCAAGCAAGCGCTGCGTAACCCAGATGTGTTCTGTTTTGGAGATTACCCTTGTCACACAGTGGTCATAGATATCCTGAAAGCTGCTCCAGACGACGAGAACCGGGACATTGGAACATGGTAAGGGGTTCCTTTCTTCTTTGTGTGTATTCAATTTTGCAATCAATTGTAGGGTAAGATTTGTAGTAAAGAATGTCGCTTTGCTATGCTCTGAACAACAATAGTCTTTTACATAGATTTCCTTCTGCAATATGGAAATATTAGCACTAATCCTTTGGATAATATTAAAGTTGCAGGGACTAAATTTTAAGGCAATATAAATTTTACCTCTGAGTTAACATTTTCCTGCCTGCATGTGGCATTTAGAGCCACGGTAGTCTAGTGGTAGGAAGCCGGGCTCGTGACCGAAGGGTTGCTGGTTCGAGTCACGTCAGGCACTGTGTTGTATCCTTGAGCAAGATATTTTACTCTGCTTGTTCCAGTCTACACAGCTGTAAATGAGTATGTGGTTGGGTATTGCTAGAATTGTTGAATGCTAGTTGTGAGCGCCAAAATGTCAGCACCGGCTGTATGCTCCCAAAATGGCACCTGCTGTATGCTCCCCAGGGAGTTGAGAAATGTCATTATGATACAGTTTGTATACTGTTACTGAAGATTCAAATACACTGCAAAATGTTCTCTGAAATTATGTTTAACTGCTTCATCCTTTGTAATTGTACACAGATTACTAATTTTCTCTATGCTGTGCAAAATGAAAACAGGCAAATATGCATTTCACAGGTAAAGAGAAAACATTAACAGTGTTCTGAAGTACAAAGTAAGGAACCAAACATATTGATATCAGTAGTATTTTATCTGTTTTTAATAGAATAATATTTATTTCATCAAGAGAGAATGTACATTGAAGGCTTAATAAAGACTCTTCTTTATCATTTAGGTTTCCCCTTTCTAATGGTTCAAATTTTCTCTTTCATTATTTGGTAAAAAAATGATCGAAAAGGTTTACATAAAAAACAGTAAATGCATCTTGCATTTTAGTAACGAGTCTTTGCCACTGGAACTCCTTAATAACAATGACGTACAAGATGTTCTATTGCCAGGTAGTAAGAAATTTGTGAGCTAAACAAATCCCTTTCAGTATTGTTCCTCACTAACAGAGCTTGTGTACTGTTTTTAAGGAAATCACTGGACCTTGTTGAGACCTTGCTGCGACTATCTGAGGCAGGGTACTACCAGCAGGTGTCTGAACTCTTCAAGTTCCCCATCCAGAATTGTCCTGACATGCTTGTACTGGCTCTGCTGCAAATCACAGTAAGTCATCAATAGAGCCAACACCTTTATTTGTAGGATTGAATGTCTGGAGCTTAATGGTTTGATTCTGACCTGATGATTGACCAGATGATCTGATCTTTGTTCTTCAAAAATAAAATAAGTTTTCAATGATTTACCTATTTCCTGCAGATAAGACATTATTTTTTTTTTTTATGTCAATTAAAATTGAAGTTTCAAACTTTGAATGTTTTATTTTTTTAATTTGTAGTTGAAAAAAAAAGTATTGTTTGTTAAAATATATCTTTACATACTGGTCTAGGAATCACTTAACTTTCCACACTTATGAAGGGAAATTGAATGTACACAAGATCCAACTGCTAATTGTTTAATTAAAATAATGATTGAAATACACTAAATATAGCTTAAATTTAACTCAATATATTTACTGTTCTAAAATCCGATAATGATTCAATTTTCGTTGTTAATTTTTCTAATTTCCTGATTTTAAATCTACAGCCAACATGGAACACCCTCAAACAGGAACTGATATCCACACTGATGCCAATCTTCTTAGGAAATCATCCAAACTCGGCTGTTGTCCTTCATTATGCTTGGCATTGTCAGGTTAGTAGGACATGGTATGGTTTCACAGAACTTTTGTTGCTTATTTTAAAGTCCCCAGAACTATGAAAAATAAATATCTCAAGATATTCAAGTCATATTAACCAAACATTGAAATAAAATTCCATAGGACTGAAAAATGACTTGAATCAGAGTTCCTGATAATTCAGTTCAGCTGTACCAATGAGAGGGATTTCATTAATGAATTAATTGTTGACAAACTCTACAAATACTGTTTCAGGGCCACTCCAGCACCATCCGGACCCTGATAATGCACTCAATGGCAGAGTGGTACATGCGTGGAGAACAGCACGACCAGACACGACTGTCCAGAATACTGGATGTTGCACAAGATCTTAAGGTAAAGTATTTTTCCTAAAATCTTTAGCAATTTATAAGAAACAAACATGGTTGTTAACATAGTTGTTTTGAAATGAGAATTATAGACTGCTCTGAAATGTTTAAAAAAAACCATTAACATACTTATCTTCCATTCATACTTATATTTGGCAATAGCATTAAACTGGTGTAAGTGTGACAGTGGTAAACCATCTAGTCACTGGTTATTGACTCAGCTAGAGGTAATTCCTTTTAGCTTAATCAATAGAGCACTGGACTAGTATAGTAGTAATCTGAAGTCCTGTGTTCAACACCTAGCGGAGGCATTTGGAAAATGTGGGCTTTAAAAAAAAAATGTATTTGAAATATCTGGCTGTGTGCATATTAACTGGGGATGAACATTCACCATTGTTTTTGTGTTTTGCAGGCCCTCTCCATGCTGTTGAATGCCACACCATTTGCTTTTGTAATTGACCTGGCTTGTCTGGCTTCAAGACGTGAATATCTCAAGTTGGACAAATGGCTGTCAGACAAAATCCGAGAGCATGGGGTAAATACAGCTTATCTAATATCTCTTGGAAAACATTCATATTCATCCAAATTCTCATAAAATTCTCTCTTGTAAATATGTTATAATCATGTCAATTTGACAGATTTTCACGTAATTGTGTATTGAAAAATTCTTGGTTTATAGTGTAATATGCTTTTTTGTCTTGGAGAATATCCCTATAATGTTAACCTCAAGACACTTTTAACGAACTAGTTTCATAAGATAATAATTGGATTTCAGGGTGTTCCACAAAATTTTAATAAACAATTGTAGAGTATACAGGGTTATTTTTACCTCAGTATTACTTTCTGTCAGTGAACTATCAATGTGAGAAATCACTGTACACTATATGCACTCTTCAGTTAATTTTAACGTGTTAATTAAGAAAAAAGTGCATATAACTAGTAAAATATGCTCAGTGTTAAAAGTTGATTTCAAAATTTCAATTTTGTACTAGGAGCCGTTCATACAGACATCGGTGAACTTCTTGAAGCGACGCTGTCCACAGCTGATGGGTGGTCCAGCCAAAGACGAACAACTACCACAGGCCAAGAGTCAGATGCTACCCACGGATACCATAGCTACAATGTTGTCCTGTCTACAGCACTGTGCCAGGTGAGGAAAGACTGCCCCTTCTCCCCTCCCATCTCTCCCCTCCCATCTTTCCCCTCCCATCTCTCTCCTCCAATCTCTCCTAACTCATTTCCTTGTCAGTAATCACACTTTCATTCTTCAGTAACAATAAATGATTGCAGTATTTTGATAAGGACTGTTTCAATTCCAAATGTTTGCCACCAATGAAGTTAAAAATACATTTTGTGAATGTGAAGGCAAGGCTGCATTATATACACAAGGAATTATATAAAATGGTCTCGGTAGTGCTTTCTTAAGGTGTGTTCCCTGACAGTATCAGATATAGTACTGCCAATGCGACATGAGATGTACAGACTGGTCTTTAAAATTTATTAACCATAAATGATGTTAAGTGTTGATGGTAATAAAACAATAAAAAATAAAATCTCAGAAATGTGTCAACAATATAGAAATAGCATTTTAACTATTTAGAATTTTTTTCTGAATAACGCTACTAGGTAATTGACATTTCAATGTTCTTTTTCATATATTTTATTTTAGTAATGACAAACATAAGAAAACTTTTATTCAGAATTATAGATGATGATTGTGTGATAAGGGGTAACTTTATATATTTCTAGCCAAGTTTCCCAGGAGTTGTCAGAGGCTATACTTACCATGGTAGCGAATGCCAGTATGATCCTAAACAAAGCGAGACAAGCACCACCGGTACCGAAATCCAACCTACCACCAACTCTGCTGAACCAACCAACCTCACAGTCAAATCTGGTATGAACTCTTGTCTTTTAACCAACCAACCTCACAGTCAAATCTGGTATGTACTCTTGTCATTTAACCAACCAACCTCACAGTCAAATCTGGTATGTACTCTTGTCATTTAACCAACCAACCTCACAGTCAATTCTTGTTTGTACTCTTGTCATTTAACCAACCAACCTTACAGTCAAATCTGGTATGTACTCTTGTCATTTAACCAACCAACTTCACAGTCAACTCTGGTATGTACTCTTGTCATTTAACCAACTAACCTCACAGTCAAATCTGGTATGTACTCCTTTCATTTAACCAACCAACCTCACAGTCAAATCTGGTATGTACTCCTTTCATTTAACCAACCAACCTCACAGTCAAATCTGGCATGTACTCCTGTCATTTAACCAACCAACCTCAGAGTCAAATCTGGTATGTACTCCTGTCATTTAACCAACCAACCTCGCAGTCAAATCTGGTATGTACTCTTGTCATTTAACCAACCAACTTCACAGTCAAATCTGGTATGTACTCTTGTCATTTAACCAACCAACCTCAGTCAAATCTGGTATGCACTCTTGTCATTTAACCAACCAACCTCACAGTCAAATCTGGTGTGTACTCCTGTCACTTGACCTTGTTGTTAAGGTGTACACCACAAACAAACAAACTAAGGTTACCTATAATGATCAAGATTTTCATCCCATATCATGATGCTGCATTACGACGACAATTTGTAATATTTTATATGGACACTTAGTTCAGTTTGAGATTTATTGGGATTCTGATGGTATTCAAATCAATTTTACATCAGATACAACTTCAAAGTTTGTTGTTTATTCATGTAGTGGTATCTTTGTTTATGATGTTATATTTCATTGTACATGCAAATACTGTTCTTATAATAATTCCTTCTTCAAACTATTTTACATGTTGAATAAGTGATGTTTTGCCTCATTTTTTACAACAAACAAAACCTCTTACCTAGTTGATTGTTCCTTCACTACTGCGGTCTTACCAAAGCTGATAATTTTAATAAATTTAAACTGAAATATGTAATGGAATGAAAATAAAAAAGACAAAGTTTTTTTTTACTATTGAAACTGATGGTACATTGTATGATTTCAGCTGGACAGTTTGGACAATGCAAACACACTCGGAATTCCCAAATCATGGGGCATGTCAGGGGTCAACTCGGGCTTCCCCCAGAACCTTACCTCCCTGAGCACGACAGCTACACCAGGATCCCCAGCTAAGGGAGCTGGCTTCCAACCTATCTCACAACCCAGTGGCTTCGGGGCCATGCAGAACATCACAAACCAGCTACAAAGTAAGTTCATCTTGTCATCAAGTCTGGTATTCCAGTGCTGTAAATCAGCATTGCTGAAATGTTTGGGGTTTTATTTTGCCATAATGAGGTTAATTTTGGTGTTGTTCTGTTCCTGCTGGTTTGATCTTGAATTTCTGTAACAATGTTACAATAGATATATATTATAATATAAGTTATATACTATAATAGCATTCTTAATGTTGACGTCATCACAACACATCCCAGATAAGCCAAAACAGAATTATATCCAAAATAACCTGATTCATGTTCATAATTTTGTGTTAAATTAAAAGTTAAAGTTGAAATATTTTTTGTACCTTTCAACAACACACTATCTTGCAGTGTAGTTACTTTTGAGCCTTGCAGAGCATCAGAAATCAACTTAAAAATGAGTTCATTGTTACTGCTTTTGAGTAGTTACTTCATTTAGCTCTGTTCAGCTAGAAAAGACTAATGAAATACTTCTGAGACACATTGCTGAAACTACTTTTGTTTATCGCTTATCCGAATGTCATTAAGGTAACCTGACTTTTCGACCACCTGACTTGAAGGATATCCTGTAATATCTTGCATGCTTTAACCTCCCCAAAAGACCGGTTTCTCAAGTCATTAATTGACTTTAGGAACACAGTGTTTATGACTGAATTGAGTCCTTCTGTGTGATGAGTAGAACCCTGTCATGTTCACAGGTCTGTCCATGTCCAACCCCATGGGAGTACCACCAAGGAATCCCAGTGTAAATACATTGGGAACTATAAGCTCCCAGGCAGTAATCAAACAGCAACAGCAACAACAAGTACAGCAGCAGCAGCAGCAGCAACAGCAACAACAACAGCAGCAGCAGCAACAGCAGCAACAACAACAACAACAACAACAACAGCAACAGCAGCAGCAACAACTACGAGCAGGAGGGATGTGTAAGTAATGAATTGCCTATCTCTCAGTGAACTTCAGTTTAGCATTCATGGTTTGATTTGTGACTTGTTATTTCCAGATTTTGAGTCGGTTTGGTTTCGTATTACAATAGTATTATATTAACTAACACACATTTTGATTGGCTGACAATCAAAGCCAGATAAAGTTAGCCAATCCAATTCAATGCAGAACATGTTTTTCATTGTCATGTGTGTTTGGCCAAAATGACTCGCATTGCCGATGGGCCAGTCAACAATGAAAAAATGGTTATGTGTGTAATTCATTGCTTATGAAAAATAAGTAAACTATGCCATTGTTTTAAGTTTGTACATGATTTCTGGAGATTTGATGCAGAAATAAATATCTCTAAGAAACAGTATAGTTATCACATACATATTAAAGAAAATAAAATGAAGTTGAATTGCATGACAAATTGATGTGAAGATATTTGATGGTCATTATTCTATTCCAACAACAGCACAGGTTAGTGGTGAGATGTCTACCATTTTCCCCGACATGTCGCAGCAATTTACACGGGAGGTTGAGGATGAGGCCAACTCGTATTTCCAGAGGATCTACAATCAGCATCCCCACCCTACCATGTCTATTGACGAGGTGCTTGACATGCTGAAACGCTTCAAGGACTCGCCCAACAGGAGGGAAAAGGTGGGGATCACTGTGGGGTTAATTGTGGAGGAGTTGCATTAGAGTCTGCTCAACCCCAGTTTGTAAGGTCATGGGAAATATTTGGTAAAAAATAAACACAAAATAAGTTGCCATCATTAAAGAAAAAAGATCATAACATGAACTTTTTATAGATATTTTTGCATTTTTATCAAGAAATAAAACTTATTTAATATATATGTTTGCTTTTGAGTTTTGTAAAATGCTAATGACAGTGATTTGTGTATTTTCAGGATGTGTACGAGTGTATGCTACGTAATTTATTTGAGGAGTATCGATTCTTCCCCCAATACCCTGAGAGGGAGCTGCATATTACTGCTGTTTTGTTTGGAGGGATCATTGAAAAGGGACTAGCTACGTAAGTATTATAAACAGAGGTTGATCGACCATGGAGTCACAGCTTTACACAGTTCAAACTTTGTTAATACAAACTAGTACTCCATTTGTCTCAGATTTGTTGGTCTAAAAGCAGTTAGTTGCGGTGGATTGACTTATATATCTTTAATTTTTCCTTAGTTCCAGTCATTTCAATATGAGCATTTTGCTCTCATTGGAATAGGTGAATTATAATTTTAGCATGTTTTAAAACAAATATATATGTTTAAATAATATTTTTAAAAAAGTGAAAAAATCACCAAATGAAAGGAAACAGATTATTGTATGACTATATAATGGGGTAACTTTTCCAGTCTTTATATCTGATTGGTAGAATATTCCTATCCATAACATTAATCCATAGTTTTTTTCCAACCATAAATCTGTTGGGTAGATTATTTTTATCCAGGAGTATGATAGGTGGACTTTCTTAACCATAAATCTGTTGGGTAGATTATTTTTATCCATGAGTATGATAGGTGGACTTGTCCTGTTTCAGATACATGGCACTTGGTATTGCCCTGAGATATGTGCTGGAGGCCTTGAAGAAACAGCTCAATTCTAAAATGTATTACTTCGGAATTGCTGCCCTTGACCGCTTCAAGACGAGGTTAGTTGGTGGTATGATTTTCACCCATTAAGATTCAATTGTGGACTTGATGAGTGGCAGAGAAGTGGTACAACTAAAGATATGAAATGCATCTAAATAAAGTCAGATGCTAATCATTTGTAATATATTAAAATAGTCCTATAAACTTAAATATGAGTTTTACAACAATCTTGAAAATACTTTAGCTTATGTAAAATGATACTCCAGTAAATACACCATGTATTCTGAAGTTAAATAATATCAGATTACACTACCTTTACCTAATAGCTGGCCTATCATGGTTTTTCACTTTTCCATTAACAGAAATACAACCTCACTTTTGGAAACAAATGATTATGTATCAAACTTAAAACTAGTGAAAAAAATAGATATGATTATTAAGCAGCATTCTTTTGCTTGTCTAAAGTTCTCGATCAGATTGCAGAAAAGCCAAGAATGCAAATAGATGCTAATTGAAGTGTGATAAGCCATCAATAAAATTTGATCGACCGGATGAGTAAGACATCTTAATTGTTTTACTGCATAATTTGTGGATACATGTGTATTTCAGACTGAAGGACTACCCCCAGTACTGTCAACATCTGGCCGCCATTCCCCATTTCCAGCAGTTCCCGCAGCATCTGATTGAGGTGAGTCAATATAAAACATACAATTAGTAGAGTTATGGACCAGAGATATTAATAGCCAACTGCCACTTGGTAGGTATAGGCGTCGGTGTAAAGGGATATTTCCTTGGTGTATAATAAATTATTTTGCAGTTTGGATATTACCTTTTTTTACCTTATGATGTGGCGTACATTATTGTCAACAATCATGGCATACATTGACAGTAGTTACCAATGCTCTCTCAATGAGATGATATATATTAAATAGCATGAAAATAAATGTTAAACCTGAATATTTTCTATTTTGTTTTGTTCTCTGCCAGTTTGTTGAATATGGGGCAAGATCACAAGAGCCTCCAGTGATTCCTTCCATATCACGAACGATGACCCCGACAGCAGTTGGTGGGGTATCGTTTACAGGGACCGCACCGACAGTGACTCCTACACCAACCAGTGCTGCCATTTCATCTGCAGAAGGGCCGATGCCACCGGTGCTTGCCCCAGCCCCTGCCGCTGCCCCTACCCCTGCTGCTGTCACCACGACAACCACAGCTACCACAACAGCTGTAACAACGGGGACCACCAAGCCAAGCAGCTTACCTAAGGTAACAGGAAATAGTGTAGCTGTATAAGCCAGCAGTAGATCATATCATTGTTTCTTGTAACAAATTTGGTTACTATTCTTGTTCTGTTTCGCATAAATAAGTGACAAGTTGTATCACACTCAAGCTTAAACATGAAAAAAGCTGCTTTACTCAAGTGATAATTTATCTCGGCAAAAAAGATGCTATTAGAAGCACTGAGGGGAAAAAAGGAACAAAATATGTCTCCAGATAGGTCGCTACATCAAATGTATATTTATTGTTGTACAGCCGTCCATCGCAAGTGCTACAAACATCGACACCCTCCTAGCGGGTCAGGGTAATGAGGAATCCTCTATACCGCCAGAGTCAGTTCAGGACAAAGTCTTCTTCATCTTCAACAATCTGTCTTTGGCCAACATGGTCCAGAAGGTAAGTCAGAACTAATCCTGGCACCATCAAAAGTAGCAGTGTCAATTTGAAACACATGATGGGTTATCTGCTTCTTGTGTGTGTATTGTATGCAGTTCATGCAATGAAATGTGTTATTGTTACAAACACTGATCATCTCTCAAACTGTTACTAGAAGCGTATGTTCAGTTGTATTTGACTATAAGCTCAACAAAAATACTCGTTTAATGTTGAAATAAATGTTTCTACTTTATAAAGGGGATAGACTGTACACTAAAATTTTGCCCCACTAATTTTTGCTCTAGCATGTTTCAGAGATATTTTCACATTGTTGATTTTTGTCTTTCTTTTAAGCTTTTGCTGACTGATTGTCTGACAGACTTTAAAAACATTTGACCCTATATGTGTGAAAATTAAATTGTGAAACAATGTCCTGGTTTGTACTTGTTCCATAGTCCACTTAAAACAGTTAAGATGATCACCTTAAGTGAGTTAAGTTAACTGGTAAGGAACTGTTTACAGGCGGAGGAGTTGAGGAAGGAGATTACTGAAGACTACTATTGTTGGTCTGCCCAATACCTGGTGATGAAGAGGGCCAGCATTGAGCCCAACTTCCACACCCTGTACGCAAACTTCCTAGATGCCCTGCAGATCCCCGACATTGCTCATATGGTCATAAGGGAGACCTTTAGGAACATCAAGGTAGGTCTTGTATTTATCCTCTCATCAAGTTTAATGCAAGCTGGAGTTGAAACTTCAGACAGCTGGAGACATTGATCTACTTAATAAGTGTTTTGAGATATCCATCTTTTCCTTTTCTGCAACTTCCTGCTTTAGTTCTGGTTTATGTATGCTTGAAAGGATATTCATGACTTCATTTGCATTCCAGGTTTTGCTGCGAAGTGACAAAGGGGATGCCAACTTCTCAGACAGAACTCTGCTCAAGAACCTCGGTCATTGGCTCGGCATGTTGACGCTGGCCAAAAACAAACCTATTTTGCAGATTGTAAGTATCAATATTAGTGTTTTCCAGTTGATGTAATATAATCAACAAAAATGGACATGATTTAATCTGATTAATCAATATGAAATTGTTGAAGTTTCTGGCCTACTCTCGTAGAACCTTTTACAAAGTAAGGTTCAAGTTCAATCTAAAGAAAGAGTGATGTATCATCTGTTCTTAGTTGGATGGTTGATTATTTACTTGTGTTAACATGAAAGGACATGTTTACCTATCTCCGAGTGTAAAATTGGTATATGTCCAAGACTAGGTTTACTAGTCTTTTGAATGTTAAATTGGTTTGTGTCCTACACTGAAGTTTTACTGTTCTTTATGTATAAAATGTGTTTATATATCAGACTGAAGGTTGACTTGTGTTACAGGACATAGATCTGAAGGCCCTGCTGTACGAGGCTTATCACAAGGGAGCTAGAGAACTATTGTATGTTGTCCCTTTCACAGCCAAGGTGCTTGAGTCGTGTGCCAAAAGCAAGGTAACGTAAACCATAGTTGTGGGAAAAGAACCATGACATTTTGATTCATAACGTATACATGTGAGGAATTGAAAATTTGTGACTTAAATGCATGCACTAAATGTTTAAAAAAATCTATTACCTTATGCATGTTTTGTAGTTTTAGAAAGAAAGAAAAATTGTTTATATCTGTGTCCATTGTGTAAAATCTTGCTAATTGGTTCGAAATGCAAATATGTAACCATTCATACCTGTAAAAGTTTGCTTCTCTGCAATAGTTAGCTTGGGTACACAAGATATGCTGAAAACATTTTGACATCTACCGCTTCATCTAAAGACAGGAAGTTAGATAATTTCTTGGCTAAAAGAGAAAAGCATTTAAAACATCATCTGTGATTTTAAGTTGTCATTGTTTCAGAAGATCTAATATGTATGCCTAACTCTAATAAAAAAAAATGCTGTAAGTGAAATACCTGGTTTGTGGTATAATAAATAAGATACGATCATGCTGATTTTGGTAAAAATGTTTGAAAAACCTTTATCTGAATAAGGGGTAAAAGTAATAGTACACAAAGGTTATATTTCTCTTTGTTGTTAGGTGTTCCGCCCTCCAAATCCATGGACGATTGGAATAATGAATGTTTTAGCAGAACTTCACCAGGAGCCAGATCTGAAGTTGAACCTCAAATTTGAGATAGAAGTGCTTTGTAAAACATTGACACTGGATCTTAATGTGAGTGATGTTTCTCGTGTCCTTAATTTGTGGTAAAAAAAAGTATATTACTGTACAATGTCAACATCAGTAGAATATTGGCCTTTCAGTTAGAAGATCCATATTCACAGTGTTAATTTAACTCTTCACAGCGGGACATTTTTGTGTGATAAGCTGTGTAGCCTGTAAAACGTTTTTATGAATGATAAAGTAACAAAATAAGAACTGCAAGGTGTCATTCACCCTTTCACCCCTATGTAACTTTAGTAGACTCTACCATGCATTTATATGTATGAGTCCATTATGGTCTACAGTGGTGAAAGGTAAAGGTATAAGATGTAAGGCAGCTATCAATGTAATCATAATCAACAAAATATCTTTGAAATAAAACATGACTGATTTTCTTTATTCTCTCCCCAGGAGCTGAACCCAAGTACGTACCTGAAGGACACATCACGAATATCTACCACTGAGCCCCAGCTCTCCAACATGGTTAAGAGTATGCCGCCACCACCCATGCCAATACCACAGCCTGAGCAGCCCTTGGTCCAGCTCACGGCCCCAGTCCCCACTCCCCCAGTTTCCACTACATCTGTCGCCTCTACCGTCACCACAACAACGCCCAACATGCCACCCAGGCCACAGTTTGCATTTGATGAAGTTGTGACTGCAAATCTCAACAGTATTGGATCTCACATTGTGACAAGTGACCAGGTATTGAATTTGTTTTTACTTGCATTCATTTGTATTCATTGGTTTTGATGTCTTTGAATACAGATTGTATAGAAGAGTTGTTTCGGCTGAAATTTACTCAGAAAATGGTGTAACAGTAATAATTATTGGTCTGTTAATGAACTCATTAAGTAGACAAGAGGAAAGTTGCCCAGTTACAAAGTAGGCAGTAGGCTCAAAAACTGCCGGGTAAATATTTTCACATAGAACTTCATAGAAAGATTTCCACAGCATTAACACACAAGAACACAAACAGGACTCAAAATTAATATGAGAAGACATCAAAAGTATCTGCCAGGATACAGAAAAAAAAGAAATCGTGTCCGTCTCTGTTGAAATGGTCACATCTGTGTTGAACTCTGGATTCACATTACAGTGAAAATATTAAAATTTACCCCACCACATATCTAACCCTTTGTACAGCAGGTCTCACGGAATACGACATGTTTTATTTATCTTTCAGATTCCACTGTTTCAAGGAAACCCGAACCTTAAGCAGCTAGTGAAGATAGCCTTGGAGAAGTCTATCCAGGAACTCCTGCCCCCTGTGGTAGAGCGTACCATAAAAATCACACTGCAGACCTGTGAACAGATCATCAAGAAGGTACGACTGTTGATTCTCATATCACTGTTCTCATCTCAAAAGATTGATCATGTTCAGAAAAACTATAATATAACTCATATTCTGCTGTATTAAAAGTTCATTCACATCCTCTTAATTTACATTCATGTTTTCAGTGGGACCGGAAATATTATTGTAACATATATATGTATACTTTATAGCAGTACAAGCAAAGTTTTTTAGATCAACAAATGTTATATGCTGTACCATATCTGAAATTAATTGTTTAAGCTCTATAAAGGAAATTCCATTGTGAAATGATTTGTGTTGTAAGGACTTTGCCCTTGATCCCGAGGAGAACCGGATGCGAGCAGCAGCCCACCACATGGTACGCAACATGACAGCTGGTCTGGCCCTGATCACATCCCGGGAACCCCTCTACCTCAGCATCAACAACAACCTCAAGAGTGCTTTTATGACCACGCTCAGAGTGAATGAGGTAAGTCATTGTCGAAATTCCTGCATCTCAGCTTCGATATGACTTGTTCATAAAAATAATAATTTGGAGGGGAACAACAGCATGTACACACTCAAAAATTGATGTGAAAACAGAAATTTCCCCAGATCTAAGGGACTTGGTGTATTTACAGGGTGCTACACAGGCACAGAAGGAGATGATCGAACAAGCTGCCCAGCTTGTGGCCCAGGAAAACACAGAACTGGCCTGTGTGTTTATACAGAAAACAGCTGTGGAAAAGGCAATACCCGAAATAGACAAGCGACTAGCTACTGAGTTTGATCTCCGCAAACATGCAAGGTCAGAAGGACGAAGATACTGTGACCCAGTCATACTGACATACCAGGCTGAACGCATGCCGGAGCAAATCCGACTCAAGGTCAGTGGCGGTGTCAACTTTGAGTCAATGAATTGTAATGAAATACATTGAAGCAAAGCTTGCATAGCTGAAGTAATATCAAATCAGTTTAAATCCTAATAACTTTTTTGTGTTAGAATGGAATATGTTTTACATTAAAGGAGCGATTTGAATTATTTGGTAATTAAAAATGATAAACACATGTAATCGACAAATGCGATCAATCAAAATGCTTTATAATTGGTTCCCAACATGTATAGCTTTACTTGATTTGTTGACTGATTATCATGTACTGATGTTGTATGTAGGTTGGTGGGGTGACTGCTGGACAGATCGCTGTATATGAGGAATTCGCCCATAACATCCCGGGTTTTCAGCCTACCAACGACCCATCACTGCCTCCTGGTGTACCAAAGCCAGTACCAGTAAGTTCTAGGGCCATTCCTGCTAACATAGTGCTAAATCATCATTTCATGTCCTAAAAACCTGACTTTCTCCAAAATATATTTAAATAAAAAAACCGTTTTTTTGTTGTTACCAGGTTTGTGACAAATGACTAGACAACAGCAGGGATTTTGATTCTTCCTGCACAAATATTGAGTCAAAAATGATGTTACAAATTGGAAAATTAGTAGGTTAAATTTTCAATGAATCTATTCCATTCTTTAAAGTAATTTAACCCACCATCATCTAATGGTGGGCTATTCAAACTGCTCTGCGTCTCTGGTCTGTTGTCCGTTTGTCCGTCATCCGTCCTTAAACAATTCTTGTTATCGCTATTTCTCAGGAAGTACCAGAGGGATCTTTCTCAAATTTTATATCTAGGTTCCCCTTGATCCCTCGTGCATGTTATATTTTGAGACTGATCATAAAAACAAAATGGCTAAGGCCAAAAAAAAAGAATACTTGGTTCTCAGGCCGGCGCGCATTTCATTGCACCGTGCGCATTGCCGCCATCTTTAAAAAAAATCCGTAAAATTGGTCCGCATGTCGTTTTTACTCGTTAAGTCACCCAAGTCCCGAAAACGTTTGAATAAAGGTAAGGATTGAGATACAGGCAAGCGTTAAAATGATTATGACTTATTAGTCTTGTGTACAAATGGCGCTCATTTCGGTACAAATAAGGAATGGGGGGTTCGTGATTCTCGTCTGGAACATCGTGGGGGGATTTTCGGAGGCTTGCTCTATGACGGGTCTCTACACAACTATAGAAAGACAAGGTAATGTCCACAATGAACGTTGTACAAACTACACAATAAAAAAAAAAATCGCCCTCGTCTTGTTTTTGCCATGTTAAATGGAGAAAAAAAATTACCGCCCTGCCGCATATATTTTGGAAAAAAATGGCCTGAGAACCAAGTAATTAATTTTATTTGGCCTAAAGGAAGAACTAAACAGATCTTTTTCATATTGCAATGATCTATTCTATTTCTTTCACATTAAGTACTGTCCTAGTAAATATGTGAAATGACAAACTCACTTTGTAGGTTGTCTTTTATTCACAGCAGTATTAAGTTTAGATCAAAAGTAACCTCAAGGTGCATTTTACTGTTAACATGACTCGATCAAACAGATAAGAGAAAAGAAGAGAAATGATCAAACTGACAAAGAACTAATGAAGATGGTACAATGGTGGGTGCAAAGTTCCCTCTGGGATCTCTTGTTCTGAATAGCTCAGTTGTTTGAGGCAAAAATAGATGTGTGAGGAAAATTCATCTTGGGAAGACCTTATCACTAACAATAATTATTCTAAAGTTATAAAGTATGAAATTCACTAGGCATGCGGTAATAAAAGGAAAAACCTTGTGTTCTAGACCTATTCTATTGATGACCTGACCCAGATCCTAGACCGTATCAGGCGTGATATGGAACAGTATATGCAGCACTTGATGGGAATCCCCACCAGTAACCCGCTGGTGGTCCAACTCCACAGTCTGCTGGAGGCTGTCCTCCTAGCCCGCAACAACCGAGAGGTTGTCACCTCCATTGCTCTTCTTCAGAAGGTAAGGTATCTCCCTCTCATTGCCCCTCTTACTGTCATACAGAAAAGTGGTTATCTCCCTTCCATTGGACCACAACAAGTGAGAGGTTATCACTTTATCACTGTCCTGCTGTAGGGAAGCTACCTCCTCCCATAACATGAGAGGCCGCTGGTCGGCCTTTTTTCAATCGGATATGATTTTGCCGACTGCGACCTCTCATTTCCGAAGCACTAATTCTTTGATGCAGTTTCCGCCCGAAATCCGGGCGGAACAAAATCGGCTTGAAAAACTCACTTAAGTGGTTAACAGTTCATGACAACGATGTCTACTCACGGTTTATATAATATAGATCTCATATGTATGTCACAGACACAAATATATAGTATATTACGGAATAGAACACTCAAAATACATGTCCATGTCGTTGTAGCACATCTCTGACCTACATTTAAAACATGGCTTCTGGATTAATACAAAATAGCAGGGGGGATTTCAAACGGAACGAAATGATACGGAGTTTGTTTGTATTCCGCTTGTGAAACATAACATGTAATCCATTTTTGTATTAACGGGAAAAACCATGGCAAATGCTGTCTGCTTCGCTTCGAATGAGGAAAAACTCATTATTTATGTCTTTGACACGCAATTTTTCTCATATAATCATGGATTTATGGAAAGGAATATTTATTGGACCCTTTTGACCATTTAAATGTATGTAAACACGATATGCTCTTTCTTAATCCGAACTTTGAAAATGTGATCGTCAGCATCGGGAAAATCAGCTAAGGGCAGTTAGAGGTTACGCGGCGCCTGTCAAAAGTTTTTCGCCGTGTAAAACCTCTAACATTGTTGGAGTAGGAAGCTACCTACCTTTCATTGTCCAACAACAATTGAGAGGGACATCCCACGGTAGGCAAGCTATCTCCCCTTGATCACCCAACAACTTCTCTGACACCAAATGACATCTCTTCCATTTCTGCCACGACAATTAAGCAGGAAATTGTAGCCTTATTCCTGTCTGCATAAAAAGTACCACCAACTACAAACAGTTACCTCCCCTCCATTGCCAATCAACTAAAAGTAAGTTGTTATCCTTCCATTGCCTTCCTGGAGTCAATGGCCCTCCATTACTATATGACAGAAAGAAATCCATCTCCATATTACCTGTATATTATTCTATGGCTGTATCTGTGCTGTAGGCGGTTGAAGGTCTACTGGATCACTACACATTCTCCCAGCTGTCTACCGACCAAGACCTACTGGTGCGCTTCAGGGACTGCAACCTGATGGTGCTGAAGAGTTTACAGGACCAGAGGGCCTATGGACCCCAGTGGACCAACAAACAGGTTACCAGGTGAGATAGCATTCTTGTCATCAAATTGATATCGCTGTTGCTTCACATTCAATTACCATTGAATGGCCCTTTCAAAAGTGGAAACCATGATCATATGAACGTAGCTGTTGCAAAGATGTAAAATTCCAGACACCAGAAAAACAGTCAACTGGCATAGTTTCTGATATAGATTTAAGCAAAATTGTTCATATTCATCTGTGAGTTGCATATACAACAAACACGTCCAAAAACCTATCGAGTACTATAACTTTCAAATGTCTCCTGAACTGAACAAGAAAGAATCCTTTTGTATTTTCTGTGTATGTTTGATCTACTGGTTTGTCAGCACTATATATTCTGTCATCAGTATTATGATGAAGGGGATGGTGAAGGTAGGCAGTTTTAATGAGTGATATCTAAAGTGAATATTTGTGAAAATTCCAATTCAATTCAAATATGTTAAAGAGTCACAACAGAATACATATGTTAACATCAAATTGTACATGTATTGAAATAACCACACATACCCATTCACACCTTTCTGATGTCTATTCTTTTATAAAGCTTGTATAAGCTCAAATTAACCTTTAACCTGTTAACATGGTCATAGGTATATTATTAAGATTTATCACATAATCGGCCTGTTTAATATCCAGTGAATTCGCCCTTGTAATATTTTTACATAGGTCACTAGTGTTATATACCCTGGATCGTTTTTCATTGGCTGTGCCAGTCATAAATCGATTGTGATGTCATAATAAGGACATGTGAATGGCGCAATAAAATGGCTGTCTCCGTTTTATTAAGCCTTACTTACATTTTGGCTTTAAAACCTGTCAAAATGTAAGTTTTCTGAGTTATATGATAAAAAGTATCTTCAATTTGTTTTCATTTCATATGAGCTTTTATTAAACTCGTCTGGAAGTTTAAATTTCAAGGCTCGCAAAAATAAAAATAAATCCCAAGACTCGTTTCCTAAAATCACATATGAAATGAAAACTCGTTTTAGATCCTATATATAAGAAATTGAAAAATATTGTTATATAACCGTGAAGTGGTCCAAATCGATAATGCTGGTGTTTGTACCTGTACAGGTGTTTGATTGAGGTCGGAGGAGACAACAAATACAACGCGGACGCTGTAGACTGTCTGATACGTTCAGGACTGGTCAGCATGCAGCAGTACGACCTGTACCTGGTCCAACTCATGGAAAACGGACTCAACTACGTGGGAGTGATGTTCACCATGCAACTGGTGCAGCGCTACTGTGTAGACGATAAGGCCAACAGTCCCGTCACAGAGGTAAGGGCCAACAGTACCGTCACAGAGGTAAGGGCTAACAGTCCCGTCACAGAGGTAAGGGCCAACAGTCCCGTCATAGAGAGTGAATTATTGTTCACATTACAAAAAAGTGTAGTTCAAGGATAGAATAAACTGACACAATCAACTCGCACAATAACCTCATACACTTAATTGAGTCTAGTAATAGTAAAAATAGGGGAGGGAAAAGTATAGGATTGAACCCTTGTTCCTTGTTTGGGCATTAATGAGCCTCCATTGATGGATTATCAAGTCTTAAAAATATATTGCACTATTGGACATGCAGTACTTGAGTATATAATTTTCCTTTCCACCCCTCCTACACCACTTGTTTTGAACCAGGTAAAGATTGATGGATAGATTTTGACACAGTTTTAAGTTTATAAGAAACTTTGAGTGTAGAAATTATTTTGACAGTAGGAGCTTGTCGGGGTTTTGTCAGTCACTTACTTAATAATTATAGGTGGACTTTGCCAACACCATTGAGGCCCTGACACAGGTGAACACACGTAACCAGAGGCCTCCTGAGGGGTAAGTAAAAATTCGTATTTCATGAAAATCAACTCCTGGAGGCTTTGAATGTTTGGAAGGTTCGGTTTTCTTACATGCATTTCAATACAGATGTATTGTCAAAGACATTGCATTGAAGATGTTGTGGTAACCGTTTATATGTACCTAGGTATCTCATTTATCAAAACAGTTCATGCTCAGAAACCTATGTATGAATTGTAATCTGTACTTGGTAAACAATGCATTAAAAGGTACATGCATTAAAAGGTACACACTAACATACAGCATTGATAACACTCAGGTGGTTCTGAAGTATTACATAGTTTGTTTTGCATTTCCAAGTTGAAACAGTTCAGGTTTTGCATTTAGATCTGAAGTGGAACGACATAATAAACAGCAATCAAAATGCAAAGTTTTTGTTTTTTTGGAAATCAATAACAGTAAATCAGGAATAATATTAGTTTTTCACGCATGTACTTGATTTCATAATGTGTCATATATTTGAGTGTGTGTGTGTGAATCAACTTTGTTCTATGTAGAAGTAATGCAAACTAGCATATATACATATACCAAATTTTCTAGAGGTTAGCCTAACTAGATAATATATCCTAACTCTAAAACAAGTCAGAGGTATAAGATTTTAAGTAGACTGTATCTATAAGTTGTAAATGGACCAATGTTTTTGTCTGCAGACTTTCCCAGATGCTAGAAGGTCTACACCCCCCAGTGGATTTTGGTCTGTTAGAACGTGCCATAGGAGGCCCCACTTCCATGATGCAGTCTGGGATATCCCAGGCACGGGAACTAGACGACCCTCCAGGGCTCCATGAAAAGACTGAGTTCCTACTGCGAGAATGGGTCAATATGTATCACTCACCTGCTGCTGGTCGGGACAGTACTAAGGCTTTCACTGCTTTTGTGCAACAGGTCAGTAGGAGTGTTCTTTAGGTGGAAGTGGAGGTTGACTTTTTTACTGATTTATACAGTTGAATAGAAAGACTGATTATTAATACAAGAACTTCTTTCTCTGCAAAATTGTCATGATTAAGTATATAAAAATGGAAAAGTGATAAATTTTGTTATAAATTTGTATGTTATTTCATAAATAAGTTAGTATTTTTAATTAAAAAAATAGTTATACCAGAAGTACTCACTTTCCTTCTTAAAATCAAAGTCAGTTCTTACAGAACCAAAACCACTGAATTCATGAATAAAAACACAGGAATATTTTAAACTAAAAAACTGGAAAAAAAATTGAAAAGCCCAATTTTGTTTTAAAAAATTCCAATTATACATATCTGAACAGTACTAAAATATTTGGGTCAGTTTTCTGTAAGCACATGTATCCTTATTATTGATCAATAGTTACTTTATAATAACAAAGTATGACAATTGATGTTTAAGATGCACCAGCAGGGAATTCTGAAGACTGATGATCTCATCACACGATTCTTCCGTCTTTGTACGGAGATGTGTGTGGACCTGTGTTATCGCGCTCTCGGTGAACAATCACAGAACCCTGCTCTAGTCCGTGCCAAGTGCTTTCACACACTCGACGCTTTTGTTAGACTCATTGCCCTCCTCATCAAACACTCGGGTGACACTGCTAACACGGTCACCAAGATCAACCTTCTCAACAAGGTGAGCCTTTATACAAAAAGTGGTTTTGAAAATCTTTATCATGTGCTTAAAAAGGTCTCAACTTTATTTCTGTTTCATATGGCAAGTTAAAATGAAAAATTCTGAAGACGTGTATCATAAATCTCAAATGTAATAGAAATTCTTGTATGATTCTATATATGTTCTACAAAATATTCTCCTGGTCCATCTTGTACGTTTACTTCCAAAATGAGACTGGGAAATGTACAGAAGTTTTTTTAAATAAATCACACAGACACAAGTAAAACCTGGTATGAGATAACCTGTCTTAAAAACACACCATCTTTACGCAACAAGTGTGGTCTCCGTACCTATAGTTTATTTGACCTGTTCCATAGCTTACTGTAAGTTTTGTACGCTGCAGGTGTTGGGTATCGTGGCTGGAGTACTACTGCAGGACCACGCTGTCCGCCAATCCGAGTTCCAGCAGCTGCCCTATCATCGCATCTTCATCATGCTCTTTATTGAGCTAAATGCTCCAGAACACATCCTTGAGAACATTAATTTCCAAGTGCTCACTGCATTCTGGTGCGTGTAACACATAGTGATGAATATTTGATAGGCTTTTAATTGCTGCAGCGAGTTTTATATAGTCTTTCACCTAGATTTCCAAAATAGATTGGTAGGATTTATTTGACATTTGCCAATATGCACCAATTTGTGACCAATTACAAGTGGGAATTGTCTTGTAAAGTCATAGAAAATTTAACAGTCTCATCACTTTACTAATTTTAGAACTGTTAGGCCTCTTTTTCTTGAAATGGATGACTTCATTAAATTTAATAAAATACTGTTAAAGCACAAATTTTTACTAATTTCAATGAGATGTATTGTTTTGTCTTACAGCAACACATTCCATGTGCTAAGGCCAGCCAAGGCTCCTGGGTTTGCCTATGCCTGGCTGGAGCTTCTCTCACACCGAGTGTTTATTGGGCGACTGCTGGCCCTAACACCCCAACAAAAGGTAGTTACAAGTGTAGGGTTCCCACTGCTGGTGATCAAGTTCAATCTTGTTATCTTATAAGAACAACACTTACACAAAAACAGAATTTTTCTTTACATTTCTGTAATGGAGTTGTTTCCCTTCCTCTGGGTAAAGGAGCCTCATAGATCTGTATGTATTGTGAAACAGTTGGATGACTGTCCCTAAAAACCAAACTTTTAAACAGTACTACATATTTGATAAAAAAAAAAAAGTGTCGATTTAAATTCCATTAACATCTATTCATATATATTTGTGTTAAATGATTATTGGAATGGATTATTAGAGTGACCTGATTTTTGTGTATTTGAAGAAGTTTGTTTACTCTGTTGATATTGAAGGGCTGGGGAATGTATGCACAGTTGCTGCTCGATTTGTTCAAGTTCTTGACCCCGTTCTTACGCAATGCTGAGCTGACAAAGCCAACTCAACTCCTGTACAAGGTAATTAAAGTTCATTTACAAGAACAGTGTTTGTTGAGTGTTATCCAAAGCTCCAACTGTGAAAAACCATAGACCTAGGTCTCTGGAAAAACACAGTAATCCTATTTTGAGATCTGTGGTTTTAGGAAAACATGTTGAGAGCCATAAGTGTATTTAATATATTGATGGAACATGTCAAAATATAGATATAAATAAAATACTTAGCTACTTATAATCTTTTTGTCCTGTTATAATAAGTAGCCCAAGTCTTACAGGTTCCAACTCACAACATTAATGATCTCTTATATATGTTGATATGGGGGATAAAGAAACTAGCTCAGAACCTTGATTCTGTCAGAGCCAAATTACACACCCAAGAGTAGAACTCCATATTTAATACCCATTTCTTTGTTATGTTTGACTCTATTTCTACCTCTTACCCAAGAATTGGGTAGAAATAACTATGACATTAGGATTGGCACAATAAGATAAGATACAAATTTAACAATAACATATTTGTAAATACAATGTAGCAGGACAAATTAGGATATACTGGAGATATACTTAAAATAAGTTAGTTTTTCAAAGCTTTACAGAAATTACCGGTATGTTTAATAATTGTTCATTTTTGTGAAGCAATATCAGATGCTGTCTGGTTTCATGGTAGATATTCTTCCTCTGACCCAAATATTGAAATGACTTGGTCTTGTTTACAGGGTACATTACGGGTCCTGTTAGTGCTGCTCCATGACTTCCCCGAGTTCCTGTGTGATTACCATTATGCCTTCTGTGATGTCATCCCACCAAACTGTATTCAGATGCGCAATCTCATTCTGAGCGCATTCCCGCGCAACATGCGATTACCTGACCCATTCACACCAAATCTCAAGGTGGACATGTTGGCTGACATCGCACATCCACCCCGCATACTTACCAACTTTGCCAAGATGATTGAGCCAGCCTCCTTTAAGAAGGTAGAGTAATTTAGACTGAATTTTCTATTAATTTAACTAGTTATTAATGTATCATAACACACATTATGATAAATGCAAAGGAATATATGACATTGATTTGTTTAACAAATGTCACTTTAGAGTCTGATGTATGCAAGACAATTTCACTCCACCATACACAAAAAATAATTGATAATGAGTATAACTTCATAATAAGCATATTATTATTATTTTATTTTAATTTTACTGTAGAGATACTTCTTCTAATAGAGGAAGTGTTTCAAACAGTACACTGTAACAAATGTTATCACTAGCCATCAAGTTGTTAGTTCACATACCCATAAGTTGACCTTGAAAGTAAATATGATCTGTGTTTTTAGCAGTTTTATTGTATAGTTGACTGTAAACAAATTATTCTCAAACAATGTTTACTTTTGACAGGACTTGGACTCCTACCTGAAGACAAGGTCGCCTGTCACCTTCCTGTCTGAGCTTCGTAGTAATCTACAGGTATGTTATAAGTGAGGCGGACTCTCTCCGACTTCAAGACTTATATCAGCACATCATTAGGTTGAAATATGATTCAGAGTCAATGTTTGTAGATAATATGGATTTATCAAACTTTGTCTAAATTACATTCCAATGATGTAACTCAAGCATCCTGATCTCTGGCACTTGTTTAGAGATATATAGTTATTTTTTTGTTCTCTTGGATGGAGATTTCTAGATGTAAATGTTTTATGTTTCTATTCTCATATATCATTTTCTTTATATGAAGCTGTCAAATCTAATTACAACCATAACTATATGGAGCAACGAGATTTACTTATGGTGATAGTGTAATAAGTTAATGTTGGCCGGAATCCAGTTCAATCCAGTTTATTATTCATTTTAATAATTGTTATAACATCCACAAACAGAGATTCAGGGTCTCTGTTACCCTTTCACCACTGTAGACCATAATGGACTCATCCATAACAATGCATGGTAGAGTCTACTAAAGTAACATAGGGGTGAAAGGGTTAAGCAGAGATGTATACAGATGTATAGTACTGATTCAATATTTTCTGTGGGCAGCTGAACGAGCCAGGGATGCGGTACAACATCCCGCTGATGAACGCACTAGTGCTGTATGTCGGGACACAGTCCATCCAAAATATCCACAGCAAGGGCCTCACCCCGAGCATGTCTACCATTATTCACTCGGCTCACATGGACATCTTCCAGAACCTGGGTGTGGACCTTGACACAGAGGGTAAGACTTCACTGATACATGGGTGTCTTGTTTTATGTACAGATCTAAAACTCTCTGTGTGATCAATGTCACAAAGCTTTTACAGTGAAACCAGGCTAAACTGAACAGCACATGTCAAATACACATTTAAACTGATAAGATCGCTATAACTAAGTGTTTCTGTCTGTTTTGGGCTACACATATTCATGTTTTCTATAGGTCTTTATAAGTTATGTGCTACATCAGGTACTGTAAAGTTTGAAACTGTGACTCTTTAAATTGATTGCAGTGTGGACATTTTTAGGTTGACCATGGTTCTGAAAGCTTTATATACCATATATCGGTAATCTATATATTATATATAAATATTCGCATGTAGATATTTTATGTAGATGGTTTATGACATGTTAACTGCAGATCCTTGATATCATTTATGCCGTTTGTTTTAGGTCGGTACCTGTTCCTGACGTCCATCTCCAACCAGCTACGATATCCCAACAGCCATACTTACTACTTCAGCTGTACGCTACTCTACCTGTTCGCAGAGGCTAATACTGAGGCCATACAGGAACAAATCACAAGGTAGCAATGCTGTTTTTATCAGGCAAATTTAAATACCAGAATTTCAAACTATCTGACATTAATCCTCAAGGGATCAAATCTCAAACATCTTGTCACCAGTTCTATGAACTTATGTTGTACTGCAGCGTCTGTCGTTGTCCGTCAACTTTTTCTTTTGAACAACTTCTTCTGAATATTTGGACTAGAGTCTTGATAATTACAGTAATGAGTTCAAAAGTCAACTTAAAGTGCTAGTCAGGGGTCAAAGGTTAACATGGGTTAAAAGCTTATAAATCTTCTTCTCAAGTTCCATAAGGCCAGGTCAAGATATTTGGTCAGGAGTTACCTGGGATGGAGTGATATAAAGAGTCCTCATTAAAATGACCTTGACCTTCTTTCAAGGTCACCGGGGTCAAATATGTTAAAAAAAATTAAAACAACAATATCCTAAGAACCATTTGGTCTAGTCATGATACTTGGGTATGTTATGTAGACCAGCTGTGAATTGTTTTCTTTATTACAGTAATGAGGTCAAATGTCAACTTTAAGTGCTAGCCGGAGTCAAAGGTCAATGTTGGTTAAAAGCTTTAAAATTAAAATTTCAAAACAACAATTATTAGGGTGAAGTGTGTCACTGTATATGATTAGGGAAGTATGTGTGTGTATGGGTGTTTAAAAACTGTTTCCGAGATGTAAAAATGTCTTGTTCTAGTTACCAAATTTGGTCTGAAGTTACCTATGTCAGTTTCATGTAACAAAAGAAACAGGTGAGCGATACCGGCCCTCTGGGCCTCTTGTATTGAAAAATTAAGATTCTTTTTAATAATCTTTGATAAGAAAAACATCTTTCCCTGGCTATTAGTGGAACCTCTTAAAACAGCTTAATGTTATAAATGTTGATAAAGGACCTTTTCAACTCCTTTATACGGTTTTAATAGTTTTGAAAACTTTGATTTTGCAGGGTGCTACTTGAAAGGTTGATTGTAAACAGGCCCCACCCATGGGGATTACTTATCACCTTCATTGAACTCATCAAAAACCCACAGTTCAAGTTCTGGAATCATGAGTTTGTACACTGTGCTCCAGAGATTGAAAAGTAAGTATACTCAAAAATGTCAAATGACTGGATATTGTATTTCCTCATATTCATATTAAAATATTGGACACATAACACATAATTTAGCAGTTTTAAAGTGCACTATATTTGAACAAAGGAAAAAATGAAAGACATTTACCGGTATATGCCATTTCAGAGAAGTAACTCAAGATTAATAAAAGGGGAAAATAAAATCGATGCTTTAATAGTGTATTATGTAAATATATACAAGAACCTTGGGTACTGTAAAGACTTTGTAATTAATATTAACATGTTATAGATGTTTGATATCCTCCCATTTTATTGCAGGTTATTTGAGTCGGTAGCCCGTTCGTGTATGCAGCCCAAAACAGGACAGAGTCTGAGAGAGGCGGAAACAAACGAAATTCACTGATCTCAATTGGTGTTGAAGAAACAATACACTTTTTCCAGACAATAGTTTATTTTTCAAACAAGACAGCTTATTATCATGAGTCGGATCATGTGATTTTGTTACGAGAATTTGAAGTGATACTCTTCAAAATTATGTGTGAAAACTACATGACGATTTTTGCCAAGGCAACTACAATGTGTTCGTATGTCAGAGACATTTGTATGATAACGTTAACAAGTTTCAATGGAAACCAGGCACTGAATGGCCATTGTTATTAATAATGTGTGTAGATTTTGTGAGTTATGTATAGATGGCAAAGTTCTAAGAAGAATGTTTGTTTTCATTCCTGTGAACCAGGAACTTGGAAATATTGTCTCTTGAAATAAAACTTTATTGCTTGCATAATATTGGTTTCTTGTTTCTTAAAACAGTGCTATTTTTTTTTTTTTTTTTTTTTTTTTTTTTTTTTTTTTTTTTTTTTTTTTTTTTTTTTTATATTTCAATTTTTTTATTGATTTTCATGTGAACAATTACATTAAGACCAGAGACAAAACATTACATTACATAACAATTCATTACATTACAATACCCATAGGATTATATACATGCTTGAGTTCAACATGAGCACTGCTAAATTTGGGAACATCAGAAATTACACTCTGCACCGATTTTTTCTCTCTTAAATATACATATTTATTAACATGCCCTCACATACCTCCACCTTCATCGGTGATTTAGTTGGATCTAAACACAATAGTTTCAGAATAAAATATGCAAGTTCATTTTGAAGCAATTTGTTCACCTAGTTTCTTCCAAGTTTTTTTAGCAGCGCCCATATTAAATTTAATTTTTAGCTTAGCTTTTGCTATAGATAAGTACACTTAGACGAATAGACATACAGCAAGACCAATTTCCATCATCAGTGCAATATTCATTACCATACCGACAAAGACTTTGTTTATATTTTACTTTGTTCCTCCCTTTCGGATAAAGCATGCCATCCTCCCCACCTTGTAAGGAATTTTGTGTATTCATTTCTTGATTTATACACAATCTTTTCTACCTCATAGTATTGACATATGTGTGATTTTAAGACTTCAAAACACACATAAATTTTCTTAATTCTACAGTGATAGACATATTGCTTAAACAGCAGCGACATCATATTAATCACACCATTATGGCGACCATGAAGCCCTAGCAGTATCGATTTTGGCGATATACTAAAATTGAACATGGTTTTATCGAGAAACCACTTCTCTAACTCCTTTCGAAGCTTGATTATCCTTGAACATTCATAAAATAAATGTATATAGGTTTCTTTTTCTTCCCTACAGAATGTACATAGCGGAGAATCCACCACCTTAATTCTGAATAGAAAAATATTGGTTGGTAAAATTCGATGAAAACAGTGCTAGTTTATTAGAATACAGTTGAGACCAATTAATTCAGGGGGCAGTTGTTCCACTTACCAGCTGATGTTTTAGGGGACAATGTTTGCCATTTCTGTTACATATAGTTTAAAATCACGTTCTTACCTCGAGAATATAGGTGAAGCTTGAATCTATATACTGGTACGTATTTAAAAGATCCTACAACTTCATTTATTTGAAGTCACATTCTGGTGATATATTTCATGAATTTCAATTGTTTTTTCCCCCCGATGTGACAAAACAGGTCACTGTAAATTGGCATTGTTTAAGCTACTGTTTATGTAGCAGCAGTAAAATCATGTTTGTATAAGTGAAATGAAATCGAGGCATTTTTTTAATGGAAGGGACAACATTGATAAACTTGAAATATAATTTCACTATTAACTGGATTTGATTGCTTAAAATGGTAACATAAACTAACAACAAGCTGGGGTTTCCCAAATGCATGTATTCCTTTACCATAATTATTTGCAATAGCACTTTGAATTGAAGTTTTGTAACCATTATTAGTGCAATGCCAGTTCAGTGTGAACAGCTACAAGTGTGGACAGTGGCAGTTGATGCACCTTGTCCCTCATGGGTACAACAGCAGGGGACTACAGGTTTGTCCTCTGTCGGTGATAACACCCTGTACCTCGTGGGTACAACAGCAGGGGACTACAGGTTTGTCCTCTGTCAGTGATAACACCTTGTCCCTCGTGGGTACACCAGCAGGGGACTACAGGTTTGTCCTCTGTCGGTGATAACACCTTGTCCCTCGTGGGTACAACAGCAGGGGACTACAGGTTTGTCCTCTGTCAGTGATAACACCTTGTCCCTCGTGGGTACAACAGCAAGGGACTACAGGTTTGTCCTCTGTCAGTCAGCAAATGTATTATTTCATGACACTATGAATAAGAATACCGCAAAGCAGTACATAATAGGCCCGTTACACGTTTCATGAGCAGTTCTTTGTATCATTGAAATATGGGAATCGCTTAAAAAAAAATGATTAAAGAGACATAACTCCGTAAATCACTGTCGGATAATGATGTTTATCCATCCGAGCTTTCATGGGAATTAAACCTTCCAATTAAGTTTGAAGTTAATCCATTTAAAATTACATCAGATATTGTGCATAAACCATGCGCACCCGCACACTCACGTGATAACAGTATGTCCTGTCTATCGACGGGTGTATACAAATAATATGACAAAACGAATCAAAAGCCAACACTTACATAATTATTGACTTTATTGCATTAAACAGCTCGCTCATGAAACATTAACAATTTAGATTGTACATGTATTACGTTATCAAGATGACATATACATACATATCGGAGTATTATTAAAATGTCTTGTGACGGAATTATAAGTTTATATCATGGCATTACTTACCTGTTGTCTCATTAATTTACTCGTACAATGGAACCTCATTGTCCAGATGCATGTTGATGTTATGGACAAATGAAACAGGACTTGTTACTTTAAACTCTGACCAATAGGGACTTTTTCAGATTACTGGACTTTGGAAGTTACAAGATTCCAGAGAGGACTGACCTCCAGGTAATTCAGAGGTTACTGGAATCCAGAGGATACTCATTACTGGGAATCAGATTACTACTCGGTATTAACCCTTTTACCCCTATTTAAATTTAGTAAACCCTACCAAGCATTGATCTGGATGAGCACATTATGGCCTACAGAAGTAAGAGTTTTTATATAAGGGTCCTCTGTAAACCACATAACAGCTTGATAAGTAAAGAATAAAATGTGTAGCCTTAAAAAAAGCTGGAGTGGTTTAATGATAATAGGTAACACAAGTATTGTAGCACATGATAAAAAATCATTTCAGAGATCGAGAGAGATGGACAGTCACACCTGTCACACAAGGCTGACAGGTCCTTTAGCTTCAGATATTCAATATATATGATATCACGCTTTACAGTGAACCCTGTCTAAAATTAAACAGATTCAATAACACAGACATGTACCCTGCGAGACATTGCTTAATAGTTTGTACAGGTTTCTCAATTATACTGTATTTTAAAAGAGAAGGTTGCTGGAGCTCAGATTTTATGATACCGGTATGTATGTTTGAGCAATACTTTATCACAAATTCCCTCCTTATTTTTTGACAAACATTACATCATTGTATTACACAAATAGCTTCCCTGTTCGGGAAGAATTCATAATATATAAAATATTTACAGTAAAGAATAAAAAAAATGCTTTTATGTACAATAATAAATAAATAAAATTTTAATGAAGATAAAATGGTGAACATAATAGCTCTACAGTCAATTTATATATGTATATTTTAATTCAATGAGCTGGCCAGTATTCAAGCTATGATCATATAAAAACAACAAATTATATGTTTTGCTCCAAATAAGGAATTGAAGTACATTGTAAATAGAGTTTAAAATACAGTTGTTTAAATTGTAAGTTATAACCAACTCGACTCAATTTCGTTTTCCGTCCATTGGATATAGTAAAAATACCCTTTTTAAATAATCAGAATTTACAATAAACAAGGTTGTTACTGACATTTTTTCCTGTATAATAGTTAACATAATTTACTGCAGCAACATAAATAAATTGATCAATACATCATATACAGGCCATCATTTCTACTCGAGTCATCTACACGGTCCATTCCAAGCTTCTCGGTGAATTTTTACGTCCATGACTCTTCAAAGAATGTTATTACATTACATATAACTTAAATCACAGACAAAAATATCATTAATGGCAGTTAGGTGCTTACAGCTTGTGAAGGCTAAGGCCCTTCAATAGGTACAGGGGGTGTATCCAGCTGCAGGTACTGAGCCCATTGGCCAGTGACTGACAGCCAGACAGATAGCCTATTGCCTCCATGAAACTTGCGAGGTTCAAACTTCACTAGAATCACAACTTTACACTGATAACTTGACATTCTTCTAGATTATCCAACATCAGATTAGCAAGCATTTATAAATAAAGTACTTGTAGATGGTTGGATTACTTTTATACATGGAAGTTGTACAAAGTGCCGATACATACAATTATGTTCATGTGTTTGAATGTTGATCGTGCGCTGTGTAAACTCGGATTAAACATTATCTTTTGGCGTGTCCACATCACGTTAAAGATGAATGTCATGGTGTATCAAACAATGTAAAAATCTATCAGAAAAAGAATTTACAAGAGTTCAAAGTTGTTACTCTTGCCCAGGTTGAAACTACAATTTTCAAAGAACAATGGGCCCCTGTTCTATGGCTGTCAGTCAAAGTATATACAAGCTGAAGAGTTACAGTACTTACAGCTACAGGTATTTATATCTGTTGACCATAGCTAGCACTTTCATAAGTACAGGGCTCTAATTCAATGGATAACAACTTCTGCTCTCTGATGTTCCATGGAAGAAAACCAGTTTTTCTCTCACTGCTTTTGTAATTTTTACTTTTTAGAGTTCTATATCAATGAGCTTCAATGTATTATGAATTTATGCACTGTTTCTAATTTCCAAAATTAAAATGACAATAATAATGATACAATAAAGAAATTCAAGACAAGGGAGATGGAATCTAAGTAAAATTGTGTTACGGAGCGTAAAAGCCAAATTGAAATACATAATTGAAATACTCTAGTAAAGTTATGACCCTGAATTTAGGTCCAACTTTGTCCAATAATAAAAAGGCAGTATGTCTGACATGTGTTGGCTGTCTGAACGCAAAAAGGAACTAGGACAGTGTTAGGGCATTGGAACACATGCTGTAGTTGGTTCTATGATATACCTGTTCTCATGTGTCTTATGTACCCTACAGGTATTCTAGTCAATAGTTCACACGTATACGGTGGTCGTACTAATTGTATCCAGTATGTTATGTCACTCACACTTAGTTTCACAGTTAAATGTATCTGTACCTATTGACAAGGATACTACTTCCAGCTTCAATGAGTGTATATGTCTTACAGTGTGTATGAAAAGTTGTTCTTGTGATATACTGGAAATCCTTGATGAAGATTTATGTGAAAATACCTATCACATGGCATTAAGTTATCTCAGAACAACTGGTTTGTCTGTTTTTGAAAGTAACATTTTCGGGTATAAATCCTGGCGAACCTGCAAATGTTTCTGCAGGCCTTGTAAGGCTTTGTCAAGGCTCGCCTGAAAGCAGCATCCGACTACTAGGTCCGACCTTCTTTAATAAACAAACAACTCCGGTTTAACCGGTTCAACCGTTTGGATCGCGATAAACGAAAGAGGCCCTGTTTAACACAACACTATACCATCAATGAAGTGTCACATTTATATTACGGTTGAACTAGCCACACATTCACAGGATGACCCCAATACTCGTGAACTGGTTGACCCGAGTACACACATTCATTGTTGGACCAACATACATGTAAAACTTGATACATGAATGCACAAGTTGACCCATATACACTCAATTTTACTGGCTGAACCCAAAACACATGTGTAAGGTGACTCCAGAACACAAATGCACCAGCTGACCCCAGTAAACAAATACACTGGTTGAGCCTAGCACACACATTTGCACTGGTCGACTTGGGTATTCTGTCAAATCCCTCGCTAGCCAATCAGGAGCCAATGTCTCGAGTCGACCCCGTCTTACTCTGGTAGATTGTTACAGACGCTATGTGTTGGTTATGCATCACCTAAAGAAGAAAAGAGATCTTCAACATCCTTTGTCCGTGTTGACAATACTAGATTTTGTTTGTTTTAGGTTAGGTGTAATCTCCCTGTAAGGTATCTTAATTAACAGAATCAAACTACTAAATATTTGTTAACCACTGATAAAAGAAGCTTTTCCTATCTGTGTAGACCTCTTAAGGAGAGGAGATACTTGTCAAAGTAAGGTAGCATACACCCTTAACATGTGTATATGCCGCTAAGTACCATTTCTTAACATAAAAAATTAACTAAATAAACATAATAAACATTTTAAAATTAGTGACTTTTATGCAGTCAGTACAATAATTTGTCTACTGTAAAAAGACAATATTCACAAAGCCCTAAGGCTAAAGTGATTATTGTCCTTAAATGGAAGATAAATCATCACATTTGCTACAATTATATAATAAATCCTGTACATGATCAATGGAATTAAAATTGATAAAATCAAAAAGTATAAATCCAAAAATGTCATAGGCACACAAGGTAGAGCACATTCATACTTCAACAAAATCTTATCTAATTTATGTTTCCCTTACCCAAAATACAAGAAGCCCAATGGGCCTGCAACGCTCACCAGGTATTAATCTCACACTTGTAAACTTAAAAGTGATCTAAAATAAAGCTATGCAAATATCAGTATTAATGTCTATAAGTCATTCAAAAGAACCTGTTAAAATATTTAAAAACATTTGACCCCTGTGACCTTGAAAGTCCAACAAGGTCATTACATTGAACAAACTTTATAGCCCTTCATCTCAGTCGTTTATAGATTTTAAACAAATTTGACCCCTGTGACTTTGAATATAAGTCAAGGTCATTTATTTGAACAAACTTGGTAGCCCTTTATCCTAGCATGCGACTGGCCAGAAATCAACATTCTAGGCCTTATGGTTATTCATAAATAGTCGTTTAAAAATTATGAACATATTTGACCCCTGTGACCTTAAATAAAGGTCAAGGTTGTTCATTTAAAAAAAACTTGGTAGCCCTTTATCCCAGCATGTTATGGGCTAAAATCATCATTCTGCACCTTTTGGTTATTCAGAATATGTTGTTTAAAGATTTTAAACATATTAGACCAAATGTGACCCTGAATACAGGTCAAGGTCATTCATTTTAACAAACTTGGTAGCCTTTCATGCCAGTATGTTATTGGATAAAATTTTCATCCTATGCCTACTGGTTGTTCAGAAGTTGTTTTCAGATTTTAACATATTTGACCCATGTGACCTTGAAAATAGGCGAAGATCATTCAATTGAACAACTTGGCAGTCCTTCCTCCCAGCATGCTAATGGCCAAATATCATCACCCTGAGCCTCTTGGTTATTGAGAAGAAGTTGTTTAAAGTAAAAAGTTGACGCCGGACGGACGCCGGACGCCCCACCATGGCATATAAGCTCACTTGGCCCTCAGGCCAGGTGAGCCAAAAATATTAAAGCAACCTTTTTTTTATCTGAATAAAATCCTACCTCATATATCATGTCTTGTACCCCAAAACAGAAGGTGGAGCCGAACGGATTGCTGGTATTGGTGGAGGATGACCGGTTGAGGATCACTGGACGCTGGTCAGGCCTCACTAGGTAGTCCTGGACTGTGTCCCACTACAACAAACAATTCCTTCACTTAATTATATATAAACATACCACCACCCAATTACAGTCTAAATAACTTTTTGTTTTTGAAAATGAGAACAAAATCTCCAACTAATTTTCACAATTCTTACCTCAGTTAACTGATACAATCATATCAGGAAAACACAAATAAATCCAATGTACACTGCATTGATGATTTTTGCAATCTTGAATATAGAAATACAAATAAAATACACCGGAAAGAATTAGCGACCGACTCATAGAACTATTACTGTACCTTAGAGTAGGCTGTGATGACCACCTCCTCTTCAGAGCTATCATCTGTCTGGACCAGTTTGGGCTTCACCATTTCCACAGCTACAGGGATCTTAAACTCACAGCGGTAATACCTGAAACATGTGCAATGAGATATGCTAGCCTTTGTGAAAAAGTGTTTATATTTGTTATCAGTTGGGAGCAATTTCTTCTCTCTGTCCAAAGGGTTTGCCCTGTTTAAACAGATTCGTTTGTTTATAAAAGAGGGACAGATCAGATAATGTTCTTTGGCAGAGATCTTGGACTATCATGCCTTACCCTTTAAATATTGCTTTCAAACAAAGATAAATCTAGAACACTGACAGGCCAGAAAGGGCTCCACCATATGCCTTACAGTATCACTATGTCAAATTTCCAAAAGATGTGTCTTTTTGGATTCTGAGTTGATCTCTGGAAACAAATGTGTGGATTGATGGACAGGTAGATGTTCTATCATTTGATGTTTATGAGTTTATACCTTTTAGCATTAAATCATTTAAATTTGATATTAATTGATTTTTAAAACTCAACAAAGTTTGTCTACTTTGAAAGTACTGGGCTGGGGTATACACAATATCACAAACAAAAATAATTCCATTATTTGACCTCACCTCATTTCTACCCTACAAACAGCTTTTATAGAAGAACTTACATGTTGAAATTGTAGTGCCCGGGGAAGTTTGTATGTAAGATGAACTTCTTCACAGTATGAGTTGTGGCATCAAATAGGATGTCCTACAAACCGAAAAATCAAACTTAGATTTAAACTGCTTAGGATTGTTTTAGAAAACATTCTTTCTAATTCAGTATTTTTTTAGAAAGATTCTAGGGATATTAATAGGAACAGAACATTTTCTATGTAATCAATAAAAAGATGAAAATTCATCTTTCAGGATTTTTATCCATCCTTAAAAATAATATGAATAACTGTCTTCAATTATTTACAATAAGCAGAAAGCTAAGTATAACTGGGCAAGACTTGTGAGGATCGGTAAGATATTTCATGCACACTCTCAAAACATAGGAAACTGAATAAATGGGATGCTTCATACATTATCATTTTCTTTGTACAATAAAACAAATCCCAGAAATATCTCCGACTCTTTCCATTACCTACCACGCCCATAGTGAAATAATTGAAGAAGTAGTCAGAGCAACGAGATTGCAGGCGTCTGTGGGCGTCGGGGGAGTGTATCTTCATCTTGTCCTCAGCCTTGTAGAACACCTTCCCGGGACACCCAAGGGACCCAAACACATCCTGTGTAGCAATGTAGAAACTTTCAACAAGAGAGGTTTACCTAATAAGAGCTAATTGGGGTACAAAGGGACTCGACATCTCTTGTGGATCAGAATTTATAAAAAAAAAAAAATTGGAAACAATCACAGAACAAGGTATCTTATAAATGGACAGCAGTTTTCTGATGATTTTAAAAGTTAAAGATGACACCATTACAAAACAAGTTAAGTAAAAGGGATGTGTTAATTGAGAGCAATCAATAGCAGTATAAGTCTGTACCTGACAAAGGTTCTGTATGAGAGTGACCAATAATAGTATAATTCTGTACCTGACAAAGGTTCTGTATGAGAGTGACCCATAGCAGTATAATTCTGTACCTGACAAAGGTTCTGTATGAGAGTGACCAATAGAAGTATAATTCTGTACCTGAAAAAGGTTCTGTATGAGAGTGACCAATAGAAGTATAATTCTGTACCTGGCAAAGGTTCTGTATGAGAGTGACCAATAGTAGTATAATTCTGTACCTGACAAAGGTTCTGTATGAGAGTGACCAATAG